TATATGTTATTCTGTAGTTTTTTTCATTCAGAAATAGGTCATAAAGATATTTTCATGTCACTGAATAATACAGGTATACATTATCCTTTTAATATCTCTATGCTGTGCTTCTGTAGGTATTCCTGATTGATCAGTCAGATGGCAGCAGTGGTTCTCAGATGGGCTTTGGCTTTAGGGAGTACTCTGGGCCAGAAACCCTTTGTAACCTCGCTTTGGAGGGACACCAAGATGTGGTTGTGAGTTGAATGGCTTTTTTTGGTAGACGTGGTTTTCTCTGGTGACTCTTGAAATTAGTGCTTCCAGTTGGGGAGAAAGCTCCTAGTAATAAGAGTTCCTTTTTTTTTTTTTTAAATTATTTATTTATGATAGTCATACAGAGAGAGAGAGAGGCAGAGACAAGGCAGAGACATAGGCAGAGGGAGAAGCAGGCTCCATGCACCGGGAGCCTGACGTGGGATTCGATCCCGGGTCTCCAGGATCGCGCCCTGGGCCAAAGGAAGGCACCAAACTGCTGTGCCACCCAGGGATCCCGTAATAAGAGTTCCTTTATGGAGTATGGGGCTTGAGGTATGAGGTGGCAAGATTGGCTATGAAGTGAAAAGGAATTAGCAATGTTGGGATGGAATTGATAGAGAATATAATGCAAACAGTTAAGGGCACTGGTTCAGGCTGTAGAGTAAAGCAGAAAATAGAATAGAGGAGAGCCTTATCAGTTGTGGAAAGGAAGAGAAGTCTTTTTTTAGGTAGGCCAGTTGTGGAGATGGACTTCTTGCAGAGATATAAATGCCATCATTCATGGGTTAAGCATTTGTGAGTAGACACTGCCTGAAATGTTACTTCCTATATGGAACTTAAAAATAAACTTGGTAATGGTTTTTTGATCTCACAACCTAGACAAAATGGGATGCAGGTGGTTAGGAAGTTACTATTTCGGTTTCTTCCTTTTTTTTCTTTTTTAAGAAAAAAGCATTCTGTTTGTACCTTGTGTGCTGCTTCCTTAAAGAGCACTCTCAAAAGCAAAAAAAAAAAAAAAAAAAAAGAGCCTCTCAGGCATTTTATCTACCAGCTAGTCATTTTTTAAAAAGACTTTTATTGTATTTCTGTTTAAAGACTGTGTGGTCTGTCCTTACTAGAGTTCCTTCCTTTTTCCCCTCCCTCCTCCCTTCTGTCTGTCCCTTCCTTTCTTCCTTCCTTCCACTGACTAAAAGAAAGTGCTGTGGCACTATTATTGGAGAGTGACCCAAATTCATAAGCTATCAGGGTGTAGGAAACCATTCTGAATGCCAAAATACATGAGTCTGAAAACCTGGGTCCAGTTTTATTCTGCTAAGATTTAATCTTTGCAGCTAGGCTTTATCTAAAATGTTCATTTGTAGAGGTGTAGGCAAATAGTAAGTTTTTGGGGGAGGCTTACTAATAATTTATTATATAGCATATCAAAAATAGAGTTGAACTAATGTCACCACATTGTCTCTGTGTTTTTACTCTGTTAGGGACTATGCCAATTTTTTTTTTCCTCATAAACACTTTGTGATGAGCTTATATATCACATTAAAACTATGAAGTATGTCTTAAAATAACACGGCATTCATTAACCTAGTAAACTTATTGAATGAAAGTACTTTTGCAGATACTGGATATTTGAAGATGAGTATTCCATGATCTCTACTGTTATAGAAATTATTGTTTAGAAGAGTGAGATACGGGACACCAGGGTGGCTCAGTGATTGGGCGGCTGTCTTCAGCTCAGTTCATGATCCTGGGATCTGAGATCAAGTCCCGCATCGGGCTCCTGCGAAGAGCCTGCTTCTCCCTCTGCCTACGTCTCTGCCTCTCTCTCTCTCTCTCTCTCTCTGTGTGTGTGTGTGTGTGTGTGTGTCTCTCATGAATAAATAAGTCAAAAAAAAAAAAGAAGAAGAAAGGTGAGCTGGGGGTATATGAATGATAACAAGCAAAAAAGGAAGGGAAATAGTTCTGTGAGATGTAGGGATACCTGAAAAAGCTTATTATAGTAGATGATTTTTGAGAGAGGGTTGTTCACTACATAGGTGCAGATGGGATAGAGTGTGGGAGTAGAGGGATGCTCAGACCAGTCCAGAGCATTTGTTACTAGGGCCACAGATGTCTGGGACATTTTGATATTTTGAATAGCTTCATATTACTAATGTGAAGGGTATGTATGGAGGAGTGGGAGGAGATGATGCTAGAGAGGTAATCAGGGGAGGTCGAACATTATCCAGATTTTTAAATGGTTAATTAATTAAATCAGGGGAAGATTATCTAACATGTAGGAGGAAACAGGATTTCAGGCCGGGAGATCAGTTTGCAACTGTTAAAGTAATCTAGCTGGAAGTGCCATGGGCCCAGACTCTCAAACTAAGTGTTTAGAAAACACTTAGAAGAAAATAAAGGTGTATAAGTAAGTGTGACTGATTTTGTATATGTGTGGTAAAGGAGAAGGAAGAATCAGGATGACTTCCAGATAATTTGTTTTGTAGGATTTTAGAAGATGCCAGTGACCATTCGAGGAGAAGCTGGTTTAAGAAGGAATAATTCTGAGTTTGGTGTTTGAACATGTTGAATTTGAGTTGATGAGATAATTCAGAAAGATGTGTACTGTAGGTGTTTGGATCTGGAGCTCAGGATGAGTTTATAATTAAGGATTCAGAGTCATCAGGTTTGAGTTTTTTGAAACTATGAGTGTGGATGTGATAATCTAGGTGTTCAAGAAGAAAAGTGTTGAAGGTGGGCTAGAAAGAAGAGCTGGTAAAGAAGATTGAAAGGGACCGATCTGAAAAGATCCATTGAATTTGTCAGATGGAAGGCATTGATAATTATTGCTAATGGGCTCAGCGGTGTGCTAGGAGTAAAAACCATATTGCAAAATAATTCTACATATTCATTGCCTTTATGCACTGAATTATAGATTTAAGTACAATGTATTTTATTAAAATTAAAAATACTTGAAAGATACGGATAAGTTTAAAGAATTAACCAACTTTTGTGGACCTACTATACAGTTTTTAAAAACTTTTAAATTTTTAAATAATTATGGACTCATTAGGAGGTTATGCAAAATCACCATAGAGAGGTCCTCCAAGCACTTGTTCAGTTTAACAAATATCTTGTTTAGTTTAACAAATGTCCTGGACTGGTTTAAATGCTAGTGTTTTGGGATGGGTTATGAAATCGCAGGTAGTTTAAATTTGGATTTTCTATTCCTCACATGGCACAAGACTGGCATTTTTTTTTAAATTTTTAAAAGATTTTATTTATTTATTCATGAGAGACACAGAGAGAGAAAGAGGCAGAGACACAGGCAGAGGGAGAAGCAGGCTCTATGCAGGGAGCCTGACGTGGGACTTGATCTGGGGACTCCAGGATCACACCCTGGACCAAAGGCAGGCGCTCAGCCGCTGAGCCACCCAGGTGTCCCGAGCCTGGCATTTTGATTCTCATAGACTTTCTCCTTCCATCACTGGCAGGGCAGATGACAAGCTTTCTTGCTGGTTTTTAGGGGATATGAGTGGAACTTTTTCTGTTCCCTTCTTACATACTGAGCACCACTTTTGAAGACTTTGGCTCAAAACAGGGGTTTTACCTCCAGCTCTTGCCTGAAATAGGCTCAAAATCAGGTCTTCTGTCTCTAGAGCATTGTCCCCTGAGACTATTGTGGTGCTTGGTGTCAGCTAAAATTTCTTCCTTTCTGGAACCTGGGGATTTCCCTGCCCCCCCCCTTTTTTTATACAAGTTCAGTTGCATTCTAGTATTTCATGTTGATTTGGTATTTCAGGGAGTATTTTTGGGCACATGGATGTTTTAGTCCAGAGTAACCTTGTTGCTTGAATCAAAAGTCTGTTTTTTTTTTTTAATTCTATTTATTCATGAGCGACACAGAGGGAGGCAGAGACATAGGCACAAGGAGAAGTAGGCTCCATGCGGGAGAACCTGATGCAGAACTCGATCCCAGGACTCCAGGGATCACGACCTGAGCCAAAGGCAGACACTCAAACACTGAGCCACCCAGGCGCCCAAATCAAAAGTCTAATTAACTATTTTATAACGTCTTATTTCTTAATTTTATTCTTTACTTTGTCCACAAAAAGTATTTGATGTCAGGTTATATTACTCTTGTTAAAATATTTATTTTTAAAATGGGTAACACATAAAAATAAAAAAAAAACCCCACAAAACCTAAATCGAGAAATGAAACACAAAAAAAGAAGAAATGAGGACACCGTATGCATATGGTGTGAAATTGGAAAGATAAAAAAAGGGTATATGTGTCTCCCTTTGCCCTCTTCCCTACCTGCCTCAGCCAGTTTGCCTTCACAGATAACAACACCACTTATCAGGTTCTTACGTGTCCTAGAGATAGACTGTGCACTATTTTCTTTTTTTGTAACAGTAGTTTTAACTTTAAAATAGTGCTTATAAATTAACTTTGTAACCAGTATTTAGGATTTTTCCATCTGTTTGACAAGTAGCAATTGTATTTTCTTCTTTGAGAGCTTTTGAGGGAGAACATTATACTAATTATATGTTACATGTATGTTTATATATATGTGAATGAATTGTCTGTGTTCTAATTTTTGTTCACTGGAGAAACCCCCATAATATGACAGAATCTGACAAAATAGTATAAACTGTTGATTCGGATGTTTTAACATAGTATGTGGAATATTAAAATAATGGAACATTAACCCTAATTTTTGGGAGGTAGTGGAAATGATATTTTAAGATACTGGAGTCTTATCAAATGAAACATCTTGAGGATATCCTTAAACATCATCCTAAGTACTAATCAGTACGTACAATTGTTTGCATATGTGCAAATAATTGCCCAAAGAAGTGAGGGAGGCTCTGTCAAAGATGAAGCCCTCTCTTTAGGTTCCTTAGCCATAGTTTGTACCATTGATTGCCTAACTGCAGCTTGGTGAAAATCACTGGCATGGAAGCAAGAAATGGAAGCCTATGACCTAATATGTTTTCTTCCTTAGATCAACCTCTCCACTTCTCCTACACCTGCACAGTTAATAAGCCGTTCCCAGGCTTCCAGTTCTACCAGCGGCAGTATTACCCAACAGACTATGTTACTAGGGAGTACCTCCCCTACCCTAACGGCAAGCCAAGCTCAAATGTATCTCCGAGCTCAAATGGTAAGATATGAGCTACCAAATTTTTTCAGTGTTTAAGGGCTTGAGAGAGATGAAAATGTTTCTTGATTTGATGCAATAAGAGGCATTTTTAATATTTAAGAAATGTTTAACAAATTTTTTTGTATGTGTATGCTTAGCTCTTATACATTTATGTCATGAAAAATTCTACTTTTAATTGGTAGGCCTTCTTGGTGTATCAAATAGCAACATTGGGAAACAGATTCTGTAACATGGAGTGACTATTTTTTATCAAATTTTACTGATTTCAAACCTTCACATCTTAACATCTCTGAAACCGAGATGCGTTTATAATTGATGGCATCTTACAGTTATAATTGATACTTGCAGTGATATATATATCTTTGACATCTTAAATTTGATGAAGTAGTTAGCAATGTTAAAAATTTGGTGGTTAACTGTAAGTTAGAATTTATACTGTGGGATCTTCTTAAATCTGGATTGGAGTTCTTAGTAATTTACCAGGTGATTTTTAGCTTTGGTTATTCCCATTTCAAAATCTGCAAGGTATTTGTGTTCTTATGTTCACTTTGATCTCTTGTTAACATAGGAACGTTAATTCTTAAGGCTGTTCTATATTAGAGTATCTACTGATTTCCTAATTTAACTGTTGAGCTTCTTTAAGGAATTGGTTGGCATTTACTTTGATGTCTTTACATGTAGCTAAGAGCTTTGGCCTAGTATATATTTACTTATATTCTTTTTTGTCCAATGAGCTGAATATGTATCTGGATCCCTTGTTCTCCACTAAAATTACAAAGAAAGTTTTCCATCGTATTTCTAACAGGAAACAGTGACATGACCCACCTTTTATTTACAGATTATTCAGTAGACATTACCATATTTCTAGTTTTTTCCCCCAGGAGATCTTATTTAATTAATAATATGCTTTAAAATTAGGCTGAATCATTTGAAATGACCACTTTTGACTTCTTTATAAAACTTGCAGTCTCATATGTGCAAGCTAAATAGAACAAACATCTTCTCTTTAGATTTAGTGCTTTCAGCTGTTTGTTCTGGCAGTTACCTTCTTGTGAAAGTTATACTTTGTTTAATTCAGTTAAATTTAGTACTATAAAGAACTGAAACTTAAAAGATTCATTAATCAGTAATTTTAATTTAAATAGGAACGGTTTGAGGAACTGAATAACTCATAATGCAATTTTGAAATAAGAGTATTTACACATTGTCATAATTTACTTAATTGGATTGGATAATCTCTGAGTGGATTGTGTTGTCTTTTTAAACTAATGGCATTCTGTTTCAATACTGAAAAATAACATTTGAAGAGATGGTGATAAATCGAGTATATCATTTTTTATTTATTTGATGCGAAGCTTTTTTGCAGACTGTTTTGTTGTTGCATTTTGACATGTGGCATTTACATTTAGAATTAATATTTCTTTATGAATAGTTTTAAAATCAAGAGCAACCTAGGTTTGTACTATAGATCCCATGTAGTTGAGTGAAATAGTGTGTAGTATGTGGCATAGTTATATTTTGTGGTAAAGATGAAAAGACTTTTGTGTTTCTTTTCAGGTTTGTCACTGAAATTTGTATTCAAGAGTAGTGAATATGGTTGTCTATCAAAAATAACTTCCAGTTTTGGAATCCTACCATAGTAGTTTCGAGCTGGGAAAAGCTTAAGTATAACAATAGCTTATTTGGGGCAAAATTTGGTATGAGAATTTCATATTACTTAAATACATTTTCTTTTTTGAGCACTGATTTATTTTGCTACTCATCAGAATCATGAGCTGTTTCAAAATGTTTATACTTTTTTTTGAGTTCTCTATTAGAAACTTTTCTTTGTCACGTAAAACCTTTTTGCTTAGGAGACAGTCCTAAATTGCATTGTCTTTCTGTCACAAATTTCAGTCTCTCTTGCCTGCTATACATTGTGTGTGGGACATGTTCTTTTGTCTTAGGGTATTTTTTTGGTTTTTCTGTCTGTACAGCTGATTTTCACACCCGCTACCACTGTGGCTGCTGTACAGTCTGACATTCCTGTTGTCTCGTCGTCATCGTCATCTTCCTGTCAGTCTGCAGCTACTCAGGTGAGCTTGTCTGCTTCATAATGTGGTACTTGAGGTCTGGATCTTCAGTTTAAAGATAAACATACATTGTGTTTAAGTTACTGATGCTTTCAGTGCTCTTTGCCATACGTTTCAGATTGGAATTTAATAAAATACATGAGAACTTTGAGAAGGTTTTTTTGGTTACGTAGAAATTATATCACCATTAAGCACATTCAGTGCTCTTTGCCATACATTTCAGATTGGAATTTTATAAAATGCCATGAGAACTTCAAGAAGGTTTTTTGGTTATCTAGAAATTATATCACCAATAAGCAATACATTTAAATTATTTGACATTAGTGAAAGCAATGAGTTTTTGCTATAACATTGTATGTTTAGTTTTATTATAAAGCAGGCTTATTGTTCTTATTATGTGAGTTGTATTCTTTTGTGTAGATAGATTCCTTTACAAGCAGTTGTGTAATCACTAAGTCAAGATAGATTTTAAGTTTAAAAATGAATTGCGAAAATTTTTAACTTGAAAAATTGAATAGAATATTATTTTGTTTGGTATTATGAAAGGAACCTTAATTTTTTCCTCACACCATTCACAAAAATGAGCCACAAGTAGAATATAGACTTAAAGGTGTAAAAGCCTAAACTATAAAATCTCTAGAAGAAAACTTAAGGAAAAAAAAAAAAAAAAAGAAGAAAACTTAAGGATTATTTTTATAGCTCTAGGGTAGGCAAATCTTTCTTGGGACACAAAAAGCAGTAACCATAAAAGAAAATCATAACAAATCAGAATTTATCAAAATTAAAATCTTCAAAAAACACTGTTAGAAAAGTGAAGCATCAAGCCACAGACTGAAGGAAAATATTCATAACACATATATCTGACAAAAGACTTGTATCCAGAATATACAAAGTAATACTTAGTAAGATCATGAGCAGTTCAGCTAAAAATGGGCTAAGGATTTAACATTTCACAAAGGTAGATGGACAAAAGGCCAATAAGTGTATGAAAAAAAATGTTCAGCATCATTAATCTTTATAGAAATTAAAATCAAAACCACAATGAATATCATGGCACGCTCACTAGAATGGCTGAAATGAAGGAGACTCATAATACCACCTGTTGGTGAGAACTTAGAGCAACCATAATTTCGTGATATTGCTGATGAGAGTGTGAAATGGTGCAACAACTTTGGAAAACAGTTTGTCAGTTCCTTACAAAGTTAAACATATACTTAACATGTGACCTAGCCATTCTGCTTATAGTTGTTTACTCTGAGAGGTTTGGAAACCTATATCCATATAAAGACATGTAAATGAATGTTTGTTGCAGTTCTTTTCATAATGGCCCCAAACTGGGAACAACCAATGTCCTTTAATTGGTGAATGGATAAACAAACTGTGGAATATTACTCAAAAATAAAAAGACACACTCCTGATGCATCTCAGAAACATAATAACAAAAGAAGGCAGATACCAGAGAGTACCTACCCTGTGATTTTTTTTTACTTTTTAAAGATTTATTTATATACTTGAGAGAGAGCATGAGTGAGAGGGGCAGTGGGAGAGAGAATCCCAAGCTGACTTCACGTTGAGCGTGGAGCCCGAAGCTGGCCTAGATCTCACAACCCTGAGATTATGACCTTTGTGGAAACTGAGTTGGGTGCTCAGCTAACTGCACCACCGAGGCTCCCCTGCTGTAATTCCTTTTATATGAAATTCCAGAACAGGCACAGCTAGTTTTTCTCCCTATAGGGAGAAAAATTGGATTGGTGGTACCTGGGACAGAAGATGGGAGAGACTGACAGGGGACGGGCATGGGTGAACTTATATAGTGATGGAAATGTTTCATAATTTCATTAAGGTGGTGGTAACATCCTGTTTACATATATCAAAACTCATTGAACTGGTCCATTCATCTTTTTATATGTAAGTTACACCTCAGTAAAGTTGATTAAAGTGAATTAAATTGAATAAATTTTATTTTTTTAAATTTTATTTTTTTAAGATTTTATTTTCTTAAGTAATCTCTACACCCAGTGTGGGGCTCAAACTCACAATCAAGAGTCACACACTCTACTGAGATCAAGAATCACACACTCTACTGAGTTAGCCAGGCACCCTGAATAAATTTTAAATTAAAATAATTGAGTAGAAGGAGTGCCTGGGTGGTACAATCAGTTAAGTATCTGCAGGTTGGTTTTGGCTGGGTGGTGATCTCAGGGGTCCTGAGATCGAGCCCTGTGTTGGGCTCTGAGCTCAGTGAGGAGTCTGCTTGAGATTCTCTGTCTCCCACTGCTCTTCCCCCACTCTCTTGCTTTTATGTGTGTGTGTGTGTGTGCACACATGCATGTGCTCTCTAATAAATGAATACATCTTTTTTTTTTTTAAGATTTTAATTATTTATTCATGAGAGACACAGAAAGAGAAAGAGAGAGAGAGGCAGAGACCCAGGCAGAGGGAGAAGCAGGCTCCATGCAAGGAGCCCGATGTGGGACTTGATTCCGGATCCTGGGATCATGCCCTGAGCCAAAGGCAGATGCTTAGTAGCTGAGCCACCCAGGTGTCCCAACATCTTTGAAAAATAATTGAAAAATAGAACAGTATCTGATACTTAGCACTTACTAGATGTTAGTTGTTGATATTATTACCTATGATGAGCCTCCATTTTTCTTTTTTTAAAGTAAGCTCTTCCCCAGTGTGGGGCTTGAACTCATGATCCTGAGATTGAGTCTGCATGCTCTACCAACTGAGCCAGCCAGGCACCCCAAGCTTCAGTTTCTTTTTTCTTTTTTCTTTTTTAACATTTTTTAAAAGATTTATTTATTCATTCATTCAGAGGAGAGAGAGAGAGAGAGAGGCAGAGACACAGGCAGAGAGAAGTAGGCTCCATGCAGGGAGCCTGACGCGGGACTTGATCCCAGGTTTCCCGGATCACACCCCGGGCTGCAGGTGGCGCTAAGCCACTGCGCCACTGGGTCTGCCCCCTTTTTTTCTTTTAACATTTTAAAGTCTTTATTAAGAAGTATAATATACATCCAGAACATATTTAAGTGTTCAGTAATCTTACCAGAATATGGGTATATCCCAAGCACCCAGATCAGGAAGGAGAACCTTACTGTGACCCAGAGAAGCCTCCCTGATGCCGTTTTGGTCCTGCCATTACTGTCCCTCAAGGATAACACTATCCTGGTGTGTGTTCGTTTTGCCTGTTTTTAAACTGCATTTAAATGAAATTTTATTGGGTATAATATTGTGTCTGGCTTCTCAAATCTCAGTTTCTTCACCATGAGCTAGAATAGCTCATAGTTGTGATAAGGAATAAATGAGACAATATTCAAAGTAATTAGTGTAGTGCCTGGCACATATCCCATGCCGCTAATCACCACGTTTGTTATATATTGTCTAAAGAGGAGCCATGAATTCAGTTTTTAGCTTTCAAGTAGCTAATAGTGATGAGAGAAAGACAGCCATTAAATGTTTCACAGTTTCCAAAGTAAAATAAACCAGTTGTTGGAAAAACAACTAATGTGCTCTCCAGAGTGTGCTCTAGAGTCTGTCTTGTGGGTTCTCATGGAGAAAACATCTTAGAATGTCTTTATAGTATCTTTAACGTGAGCACAAAGTAATTAATGAAAGTGGTTCTTTGGGGTCCAGTTTTATATGATACAGGTATGTGGCTCTGTGATATTTGGACTTAATTCAAGGAAAGACTTTGAAACTAAAGGATGAATTGACTTTCAGGAATTTACACACTTTTTTCTTTGCTGTGCTTTTGAAATGGCAGTGAATGAAGCTGGCAGTGGTAGGGGATGCTAATTCTTTGAATATTCTAGTGGTAACTTTCCTCAAATTTGGGACTGTTAGTTTTGCAAAAATCTGTGCTCCACTTAGTTAATTTTTAAGCTTCTACTTGAAAAACTTAAAACCATGAATTTGTAGTTGAGAAATGCCAAAATTGACATTTTAATGTTCTTTTACAGAAGCCAGTGTAACAGTTAATTTTTCTGTAGTATTAAAATTCTTTTGTAGCATATTGTCCAACAATAAGAAATTTGGAAATCTTACCCTTATTTACTATTTTAAGTGCTTCACCCCTCCTTCTCCCCACCATGATCAGGAAAATAAATATAAGTAAAAAAAAAAAAGTCTGACTTTCAGAAAGATATAGGACTAAAAGTAACAAATCTTACTTACTAAGGCTACCTAGGGAATGCTTTTAGAATTGCAAAGAAAATAGCACTTTGGATTTAAAAGCTAGAAACTCAGCTCTACTGCTGTCAATGTGACATTAAATCTTAGTTTCCTCTTCTGCAAAGATGGGATGCTACTTAGTAATTCACAGTATTTTTAGAACCAAATTAAATAATCGATGTGAGAGTATTTGAGTAATCCACTATAAAAATATAATGTGTGAAATTAGCAGAAATAAGTCATGTGAAACCTGGACTTTTTCAAAAGTCAGAATGTTTCCATAGTTTGATCATAGGAGAAGTTCAGATGAAATAAAAGTTGGACATTAGAGATACTGTTCTGTATCTAGAAGGGGTGGGTTCTTCTCAAAAGGGAAGCTCTTTCAAGGACATCTGAAATTAACTTTAATATACTTTAGGAATATGTTTGAAATTTATTTTAAATATGTAAGCCAGATGACCACAGCTATTACAGCCATATTCCAAAATTTAGTCATATAAATAGTGTATATAATATATATAATAAGCACATATGTACATTTTCTTTCAGAATTCCAAAGAACAAAATTAGACCAAAAAGTATATTCTATAGAAATGGACTGCTGCAGTTTTAGGGTTTAATCCTCATTTACTGTGAATGTGTTTTTTATTTGAAAGAAAGTTTTCAAGTTTTTCAGATTATAATTTAGCCTTTGTTTATCATTATGATTTGGTTTGCTTTATAGATCATTTATGGCAGTTGTTAAACTTTATGCTGTTTTTCCCTTGCTTCCTGAAAGATTTTAAGGTGCTTCCACTAGATATTTGTTGAGATTTTTTTTTTTTTTGGTTCAATACGAGGAGATTTTCATGTTTGCCTAAAAATAAATAAATAAATAAATAAATAAATAAATAAATAAATAAAACTAAATACTTAGCAAAAAAAAAAGTTAATATATAATTTAAAATCAGCTCTGGGAGAATATCTCAGACTTGTGGAGTTTCTGTTAATGTCTGTAGTACACAACTGTGGGGAATATGAAAATGAATGTCAGTGATGAGAGCCTGCCAGTGTCTCAGCATTTCACAGACACATTAGTACTTCTAAAATAAGCTAGACATTTGTCAGTGCTGTAGGCCATTATGATCCAGATTCTGTGGGAAAGGTATTATAGAGGGGAAGAGAAATTCTTTCTAAACAGAGACCTTGGAGAGGTTTCTTTGGGAGAGAGTGGGGTTTTTCTTGGGCTTTGACAAACGAATGGGGCTTCAGGAGACAGCCATGAGGAAGAATGGCATTTTAGGCAAGAGAAACTTGAGCAAGGTCTATTTGGGAATACAGAATGGCTAGAATGTGAATATTGTTGATTGAAATAGTGGAAGATGGGGCTTGAAGTGGTTTGGGCCTAGACTTTGGAGGGCTTTGAGTGGCAAGCTGAGAAACCTGGATTTTAGCACATTTTATTTTTGTATTAAATTTCAGCAATACAGCAATTATTAGTCTACTTATATTGCTATGAAATATTTGACAAAAATCCAAGAACACGCTCCATACGGTCTCAGAAAATTCTTTCAGTAGCTTAGAATAGACTAATTCAAATCTCAACTGCTCTGAAGTGAACATTTGTTTAGCACCTGCTGTTGGCTGCACACTGCATTTAGTACTTGGGAAGAGAAGGTTTAGCCTGTGACTGTCACTTAATAATGTAGTAGTAGAGACAGAACACATGAGACCTGAAGAATGTTCATAAAGCAGCAGTATCTCATTTGCTTTGCTACTTTAGAATCTTTTGCTTCAGTTTCCTTCTCAGGGTCAGTGCTAGCATAAATGTATTTAATGCATTCATTCCAGATAGGTAAAAGGTTAGGCAGCTGTTAGAGAGGCATTTTCTGCCTTGCCATTTGGAAATGTTTTAAACCTCAAGTGAGAGTCCTTGGGATCATCTTGCCTACCATCCTGACTGGTGGTATGTTTAGAAGAGCCCTAGGTGTAAACAGGAGCCTTGACATGAGCCATTTCGAGGCCATGCACAATCTTTTCAGTTCACGAGGTCTAGTTCTCAAAGTGAGCAAGTGTGTATTCCATAACAACAGTGGGACTTTAAAAAGGAGTTGATGGTAAATGGTTTTTGTAATTATCACAATGGGTAGGTAATTTGATAAATTCGTTTTCTAACTTACAAGATGAGTGTTCTCTTATAATCTCTGTAGAATGGGTAACTTTTTTTTTTTTGAGTTCTCTCTGATCTTTATGAGAATGGCAGTATTGTGTATGCACACTTCTAACTCTAGTAACGTCTGAAGAGTATCAAGCACTTGTAAACCTTCAATGTTTCACACTTCTGGACTGGAGAAGTCAGTGAAATTGAAGGAATTGCTCCTTCTTCCCTTACATACCCTGGGCTCTTCTGCCTCTGCAACTTTGCTCAAGTTTTCCCTTTTATCTGGAGTACCCTTCTCTCTCCTTCCTTTTGGCTGTATCTGAGCTGGTAACTTCAAAAGGCAGTATGTTGCAGAGTTATTTCCTCATATTCATAGTTCATTTGATACACACACACACACACACACACACATATATATATAGTTTTCATTTCATTCTTAATGATTCCCTTAATGTCTTTTTAAGAATTTCTTAATATTTAAGGTATGATTACTTAGAAGAATAACTCCCCTTTCCTTTAGGATTAATCAGTCGTTTCAAGTGCTTGGAACTTGATGTAAAAAAAAATATATAAATGTATCATCGTTGTTATACTGGTAACGATTATCACATCTCAATTAATACCATCTGTTTCATCCTTATTTTTTGTTGTGTGGTTCTTAGGTTCAGAATTTAACATTACGCAGCCAGAAGTTGGGTGTGTTATCTAGCTCACAGAATGGTCCGCCAAAAAGCACTAGTCAAACTCAGTCATTGACAATTTGTCATAACAAAACAACAGTGACGAGTTCTAAAATCAGCCAACGAGATCCTTCTCCAGAAAGTAATAAGAAAGGAGAAAGTCCAAGTCTGGAATCACGAAGCACAGCTGTCACCCGGACATCAAGTATTCACCAGTTAATAGCACCAGGTGGGATAAACTTGTTGAAAATAGTTGCATTATTCACTTTATTAATAGGCAGAGCAAAACAAAAAGATATCTATTACTTGAACAAGAACAATAATTTTAAAACATTTTTAAATGTGAATTTCATGATTTTAAAAATAGTATATTATAGCTTGGAAAAACAAATCAAAAGAGCCCAAGAACTAAAACAAATTATAATAAAATAAATTTTTTTGGTTAATTGACATTTGATTAACATCTTCACTATGTGTTGGTCTTCCATTATATTGGTAAAACCAATAGCATTTATTTTTTATTTATCTACTTAATTAAAAAAAAAAACTTTAACTCCCGTATAGTTCATGTACAGTGTTATATTAGTTTCAGGCATACAATACAGTGACTCAACAATTCTATGTATTACTCAGCGCTTATCAAGAAAAGTGTGCTCTTGGGCAGCCCGGGTGGCTCAGCGGTTTAGCGCCACCTTCAGCCCAGGGCGTGATCCTGGAGACCCGGGATCGAGTCCCACGTTCGGCTCCTTGCATGGAGCCTGCTTCTCCCTCTGCCTCTGCCCCTCTCTCTCTCTGTCTCTCTGTGTGTCTCTCATGAATAAATAAATAAAATCTTAAAAAAAAAAAAAAGAAAAGTGTGCTCTTAATCCCAATCACCCATTTCACCCATCCCCCCCATCTACTCCCCTCTGGTAATCTTTTGTTTGTTGTGTTGAGTTTGTTTTTTTGGTTGGTCTCTTTCTTTTTCTTTATTCATTTGTTTTGTTTCTTAAATTCCACATTTGAGTGAAATCATATGGTACTTGTCTTTCTCTGACTTATTTTGCTGAGCATTATACTCTCTAGCTCTGTCTGTGTTGTTGCAAATGGCAACATTTCATTCTTTTGTATGGCTGAATAATATTCCATTGTGTGTATGTATCACATCTTTATTCATCTGTTGTTGGACACTTGGGCTGCTTCTGTAATTTGGCCGTTGTAAATAATGCTGCAATAAATAGGGATGCATGTATCCTTTCAAATTAGTGTTTTCATCTTCTTGGGTAAATACCCAGTAGTGTGATTAATGGATTGTGGGATAGTTCTGTTTTTAATTTTTGGGGAACCTCAATGCTATTTTCCACAGTGGCTGCACCAGTTTGCATTCCTGTCAGCTGTACGGTAGGGTTCCTTTTTTCCCACATCCTCGTCAACATTTGTTTCTTGTAAAATCTTTTAGCTTTAAAAAAAAAAAAAGAAAAAGATTTGCCTGTAGTTTATTTAATATGCTTTAGTGGAACAAAACTAAAAGCTCTTAAGAAAGCACATATATTTTTTGTTTAAAGTGAGTGGAGTTTACCACTTTCCAAAAATAAGGATTTTGTGTAATTATTTTCCTTACCATGTTGCTTTTTTTTCCATCTCTCATTTCATTTCTGAGAGGATGATGGTCAGGCAGTCAACTAAGTCGTTTTCATTCTCATCTACCTTTGAATCCCACTTGTGTTCCCTCTGCTATCCACAAGATAACCTTGCTTTATGGTTCTCATGCAGGAAATGTTGGGGCCATCCAGAGTGAGTTTCCTTATCATCTCTTCTGTTCATCTTAGAATTACTCAGTGTTAAGCGTTCTTTACTTGTATTAAAATAAGGAGTTATACCAAAAAAAAAATAAGGAGTTATATTCATTTTCTCTTTAAAGTTAACACTGTTTGCTTATGTCATTGATTGCATCTTTTTTACCAGCTCCTGACCTTCTCTTGTAGTTGTTGTAGCATCTTTTGTCTCCCTCATGCTGGATCCTTTCCTTTGCTTCTCAAGCATACTTGGATCTCTCCTATTTGTAATACATCTGCATATGTTTTTATTCCAGTCCAAATATTGTTTATTGAAACTCAGTGTGTGATGCACTGGGCTAGACACCACGTATGTTTCAGTAAAAAAAAAAAAAAAAAAAAAAAAAAATCCTCCCTTGATTCGGCTTCAAGTAAGCACCTTCTTTCTGTCTTTTTATAACTTTACTTACTTTTTAAAGATTCATTTTATACTACTGAAGTGTGTTTTTTTTCCCCACTTAAACCTATTTCTCTTGCTTTTCTCTGCGCTAATATTGCCTGCATTCTCTGTAGCACCCAATCTCAGTGTCTTGGACTTGTTTGATTCTGCTAGTTAGAAATCTCTCGGGGGTGTGCCTAGGTGGCTCGGGCCCTTAAGTGGCTGCTTTCAGCTCAGGTCATGATCCTAGGGGTCTGGGATCAAGCTCCTCATTGCGCTCCCTGCCCAGCGAGGAGTCTGCTTCTACCTCTCCCTTTGTTGCTCACCATGCTTTTGCTCTCTCTATCTCTCAAATAAATAAATAAAATTTTTATAAAAACCTCTCAGCACTTTGAACTTTTATAGCATTTTTATGCCTCTTTGTAGTTCTTTTTCTTTTATAGCTATTTATATACTTATTGATCTTAGCTTTTCTACTATATATATAGTAAGCTCTTTGAGAGTAGGATAATAATAATGAGCACTTATGTGTCAAGTACTTTACAGTTATCAACTCCTTTAATCCTTTTTCAGATCCACCTTTCATCCTTTTGTCATGACAGCACTTAAGTTGTCCCTTGTATGTACTTACCTACAGTAGGTGGACAGTGAATATTTGTTGGATTAATAGTTTATTATTCTTTTCCATTTGAATTTTGGAAATTACAGCACAATTCTTTTCATTTGTACTGATTGGGTACCACTGCTTGGAATTCTTTACTAAATCTGAATCTTCAGATAAGTACAGGCTTTGTTGTAATGTATAAATTAATTCATTCATAGTAAACTCCCAAAGAGCTTACTATATATAGTAGAAAAGCTAAGATCAATAAGTGTATAAATAGCTATAAAAGAAAAAGGACAATAAAAGCGTGATGTGAATTCTTTGTATAAACATCTTTGTGCCTAGGTCCTGCTGTCTATATGGCTTGATAATAGTATTTTTATACTGTACTATCCAGAGTATTTTCAGCCTCAAATCAGTCTCTGGCTAGTTTTGAATAGGAATCATTGTGGAACATTAATGACCCACTACACAGGACATGACTGCCCAGGGAGCAATTTTTAGTGATTCTTACAATTTTGATAGATTATAATGGAGGGTAGGTTATTTTTCTTTTAAAAGAGAATGCTACTTTCAGATAAAGCTAGGACTTCTTGCAGGATTAGCTGAAGCAAGGAGATCTACTTTTAGATTTTCAGTTCTCCTGAACTCCTGATACCTGGTTCTAAGTTGACAATTACTCTTCCCCTTTTCTTTCACTAATAGTGTGATAGGATCCGTATAGTTGCCTTCCTCTGACAGCCAATATTTTATGTATATATGGAGGGGACCAGTAAGTTAAAACTGTTAAGACTCTTAGAACAACTCCAGTTCCAAATTTAGATCTTTTTCCCATTGTGGTTTTGATTAGAAACAAAACCAATGAAACACCCTAAGCTACAAAAACTTTTGCAGCTACTAAACTTACTAATTCATTCAAACCCAGGCAGCTGTGTGCCTCAGCTGGTTAAAGCATCTGCCTTCAGATCCCAGGGTCCTGGGATCAACCCCCCCACCCCCTACCCCATTTCGGGCTCTCTGCTCAGTGGGGAGCCTGTTTCTCCCTCTCCCTCTGTCTGCTGCTCCCTCTGCTTGTGTTCTTTCTCCCTCTATCAAATAAATCTTTTTTTTTTTTTTAGAATATTCTTTTTTTAATTTTTATTTATCTATGATAGTCACACAGGGAGAGAGAGAGAGAGGCAGAGACACAGGCAGAGGAAGAAGCAGGCTCCATGCACCGGGAGCCCGACGTGGGATTCGATCCCGGGTCTCCAGGATCGTGCCCTGGGCCAAAGGCAGGCGCCAAACCGCTGCGCCACCCAGGGATCCCTATCAAATAAATCTTAAAAAAAAAATTAAAGAGAAATTTATTCAAGCCTTACATTGCAGTGATTCAAAGCAATTTGTGTCTTCTGGCTAGGCAGTAGCTGGATGTTTCCACTTTTAGTTTTTCTGCTCTTGTTGGTGGGAAGTTAGTCTAAAGCTAAGTGATTTTGTTTGTTTGTTGTTGTGTTTTGTTTTGTTTTGTTTGAGATTCCTGAATTGTAAATTGTTCTATTCCTCAGTTAGGAAAAGGCTTATTTGTATACGTATCTTTCAAATAGGAAAAAAATCTACTGGTGTTCTAATATAGTATAGACTAATTATTATAACAAATATGGTTCTTGTTTCTTTATATTTATTTCTAGAGTGCTAAAATCATTTTTTTTCATTTCTTCTTGAATGTGTAGCTCTCATTTGATAGTTAATTTATTTTTAATATATAAAATAAAGGTGAATTTTAACTATATGACTAGAAATTATCATGAACTGTATTTGAGTTCAAGTTTTTATAGCGGTTTTTAGAGCTATGAAATTAGTTGGAAAAACTACATACCACTTTTTGTAGACATTAATGTGTAGTGAAGAGCCTATGCTAGTCTGCTCAGGCTGCCATAAAGTATACCATAGACTAGGTGGCTTAAACAAAAGAACTTTATTGTCTCACACTTCTAGAGGTTGGAAAAACCAAGATCAATGTCTGGCAGTGTTTGGTTTTTGGTGAGAGCTCTCTTCGTGGCTTGCAGATGGCTGCCTTTTCGCTTTGTCCTCACATGGCCTGTCATCTGAGTGCCAATGCGTCTTCTTGTAAGGGCCCCACCCTTCTGATCTCATTAACCTTAATTATTTCCTTAGAGTCCCCATTACCAAATACAGTTACATTAGGGTTATAGTTTCAACATACACGGGACTCACAGTCTGTAGTAGGAGCCAGACTCAGCTAGGATTATGGGTTCTTTTAGACCCAGGGCTGCCCCTTAATAGCCAGGTGATTTCAGGCAATGCACTTAACTGCCCAGTTTCTTCTCGGGTAATAAATTGGCCTAATAGAGTACCCTGTCTACCTCATAGGGTTGATGTAACTGTTTAGCAAAATATGCGCTTAATAATTTGCAATAATATATAATTATTTAATAATATATTTAATTGTAAGTAATTGTATAAAGAATTCTATCTATATAATGTGAGAGATGATGCCAATCATTAATTCTCCAAATAAAGGCCATCCTTACAATAATAAAGGGTTTATTAAAATCAGAGAAATTAACAACATGGTACCGTCCTCCAGAGCACTAGGACTTTTCTTATTCAGAAGTGTTATTTCAGATATCCTTGCAGTTATTCTGTAATATATATGCTTGTCAGTTGGGCTTAAGGACTATATAAAATTATATAGACTCATTTTGAATTCTCATCAGAGTAAAATTTAACTTAGGTGAAAGTATTAATCTACTGAATTATTGACTCTAGAATATAAAAAAAGATTGCTTACTTGAGTTGAGAATTTTTATTCACATGAATATGATATCCACTGTACAAGAATATGGTAAATTTTAATTATACCTTAAAAATTGAATTAAAGTGGGCTTTTGCTGCCATGCTGGCAAAAACTCTTATTTCCCTATAGAGGAAAAATAATACTAACCTACTCCAGGCATTTTGTGAATACAAGTGAGAGAAATGTGAAAGCACCTTGAACCCTTTGGAGGAAAGACATTCTAGAATTCTACGATTTTGTTGAATGCTTTATAATATAGAGTCTTTATAAAGTGCTAGCATAAAATTTTCAGTCTTAGTTTGAAGTGCTAGTCTAGTTATGTGAAAATTACTTTGTTAGGTGAAATTTTAGACCTAATTTCCATTTTTTTAAAAAAATACAATTTGTGGGTATTTTTTTGAACTTCTAAATGCCTCTTTTGAGATGTTAATCAGATGTTAATTTCCTTAAAGGATCTCCAAAATTTTAAATGATAACCAAGTGTAAGAATCTTAAAAAAAAGTTGTTACAAGTTTTTATAAGGCCTTTTTCACAAATGTGGTTAAATATAAAAATAGATGCAAGATGTTATAGCCTTTATCTTATTATTCTGAGATTAAGAAAAAAATGTGCCATCTCTCTAGACCTATTTTAAATGCATATAGCCTTTGTAAGATATTAAGCAATCTTTTCAACTTACCTTCTAGTGAACCCCATTTCCATTTTTATTTAGGGAGGATTTCACCAGCATCTTTTCTGTGTAAACATAGGCACTAGTATGCAGAAGAGGCATAATGATGGGACAACTATATACTACTTGATTTTGCTAATTCTTCTGTATAAAATCTCTGTTGTGTGTGACTCCTTTGTGGAGAAAATGGACATGTATGGATTGCTGTAGGATTTTTTGTTGTTTTTGTTGTTTTTTTTTTTGGGTAGGGAGGAGAAGTAAAACAAGATGCTTTATAATCAGCATGGACTTCTGATTGCCTCATTCTCTTTGCAAGCAAAACTAGTGCTCTCCTGGATTTGGAATGGCCCCTGAAATTGTTAGTTATAATGATTATAGAACAGTGCTATAGAATTCACACATGTGTTTTGCTTAGCTAAATTAACTTGTTATACAAGTTAATTTTTCTCTTTCTGGGTCAAATAATACCAACTTTTCATCTTGGCTCAAATTTGGAAACTTACTTGAGAAGGTTTATAAATAATTACATTGACTGTTGGAAGAATATTTAGACATAGATTAGAAAGTGTGAGACCTTTATGCATTCTGATACTGCATTTTTATGATTTCAAAGTTATTTTTATAGATATATTTGTTCACTGATACGCCTTTTCCCCAAAGGAGGAATTCTGTGGAAAAACTGTTAAAAGTTAATGCAGATACTCTGGTGACCTCTAAAATTTAGTAAGAATAAATCATGTTTCAGATTCATGAATCAATTGTTTTAGGCAGTTTTTTCTTTTGGAGCTTATCACGGTACATTTTATTTCATGAAATTGTTCTAGTTTTCCAAGGAAAAGTTGTCATTACATTTTCTAATTACTCTTGTTTGGAAGACTTATAATAGATTTCTGATGATTGTGACCTTCTGATGTGAAAACTTTCCTTCTTTAGATATATTTAGAAGTTTCTATGCTGTTTTTGGAAAAAAATACTAATTGTCATTTTTTTCTCTCGCAGCTTCATATCCTCCAATTCAGCCTCATCCTCTAATAAAACATCAGCAGATTCCTCTTCATTCACCACCTCCCAAGGTTTCCCATCATCAGCTGATATTACAACAGCAGCAACAGCAAATTCAGCCAATCACACTTCAAAATCCAACTCAAGACCCACCCCCATCCCAGCACTGTATGCCACTCCAAAACCATGGCCTTCCTCCAGCTCCTAGTAATGCCCAGTCACAACATTGTTCACCAATTCAGAGCCATCCCCCTCCTTTGACAATGTCTCCTAGCCAGTCCCAGTCAGCACAGCAGTCTGTAGTGGTGTCTCCTCCACCGCCTCATTCACCAAGTCAGTCTCCTACTATAATTATTCATCCACAAGCACTTATTCAGCCACACTCGCTTGTGTCATCAGCTCTCCAGCCAGGGCCAAACCTGCAGCAGTCCACTGCTAATCAGGTGCAGCCTACAGCACAGCTGAATCTTCCATCTCATCTTCCACTTCCAGCTTCCCCTGTTGTACACATTGGCCCAGTTCAGCAGTCCACTTTGGTGTCCCCAGGTCAGCAGATTGTGTCTCCAACATCACACCAGCAATATTCAGCCCTGCAGTCCTCTCCAATTCCAATCGCAACCCCTCCGCAGATGTCGGCATCTCCTCCAGCTCAGATTCCACCACTGCCCTTGCAGTCTATGCAGTCTTTACAAGTGCAGCCTGAAATTCTGTCCCAGGGCCAGGTTTTGGTGCAGAATGCTTTGGTGTCAGAAGAGGAGCTTCCAGCTGCAGAAGCTTTGGTCCAGTTGCCATTTCAGACCCTTCCTCCTCCACAGACTGTTGCGGTAAACCTACAAGTACAACCACCAGCACCTGTTGATCCACCAGTGGTAAGCCCTTGGAAGCTCTTTGACTTTCTTGCTGAACTGAAAGTAAAAACTATTTTCTTCCACATTATGTTGTATTGCTAGATCTAAATGCCTATGAATTTAAAAAGCTTGGAATTTCCATCTGTCAGTGTCTGACAAACATGCTGTATGGGCAAAAAAAAAAAAAATGCCATTTGTTGTAGTATGGTTGCATGCTTGATAATTTGTGATGGTTATTAAAGTCCCTCGTTAATTTTATTACTATTTAAACAAATCCATCTGCTATCTTTACAGAGTTGATTTTTTTTCCCCAAGGGAATGCATTTGAACCAGTGTCATCTGCACAAAGTTTTTTCTCTTAAGGTGATTATCCTTCATAGATCCCTTCTGTTGGCTTGTTATGTTCTTAAACGTATGGTTTATCTACCTAACCTTTTTGGTTGTGTGCATTCTGAAGTCCTGGGCCAGTAGGGGCTTTGGTTTCAAGGTGAGGTATGCTTATATGATGTAATTTGGGGGTAAAATTAGATTTTGTAGAAAAAAAAATTAAGAAAGAATCCAGCTTTGCAAAAAACATTATAGACCATCTTTTAGTATTCTTAAACTTCTGATTTTTAAATTTCTATGAAGAAAAAATATTACTTTAAATATTTCTCATTTAAAAAGCTAAAAAAAACTGAGTGGATAAATTGAATACAAGAATGAAAAAATCCATTGAGTGGAGTAAAAGTTTTGCATAATTGAGATCATGGTGCAATTTATCAGAATACACCTCTAGCAATGGTACATGTTGCCTGGAAAAGAAAATTAGGTTGAAGAACTTTTTTATTTTTTTTAATTCTCTAAAAGACTTTAAATTTGTAAAATAATTTACAATAAAAATTGAAATAAGATCTCTAAATGTTTAGGCAGAATGATCAAATTAATAATTTGTAACTGAGGAAAACAGTTTTCTCAAAGGAGATTTCATACTAAATTTCACTGAAAAGATTTTATCACTTAAAAATTAATAATCATTAACTCAGAAAGGAGTTTCAAAGTCTTTCCTTAATGAGAAACATTTTGGTTTTCAGGTTGCAAATTTATAGATATTCTTATCATCCTCACTGATGTTATTAATAGGTATAAAGGGATTGAGTTCCACTTTTAACTTACTTTTATTTAAAAGCAGCTCAAGGGATCCCTGGGTGGCGCAGCGGTTTGGCACCTGCCTCTGGTCCAGGGCGTGATCCTGGAAACCCGGGATCGAATACCACATTGGGCTCCCGGTGCATGGAGCCTGCTTCTCCCTCTGCCTGTGTCTCTGCCTCTCTCTCTCTCTCTGTGTGACTATCATAAATAAATAAATAAAAAATTAAAAAAAAAATAAAAGCAGCTCAATAGAAATAACAATGAGCATTTAGAAATAAATTTGTCATTCAATTCCCATGTCTCTATATCTTTTAGATTTTTGAAAAATTTACAGTGGATATTGTAACATAAAAACATAGGCTTCGGGATCCCTGGGTGGCGCAGCGGTTTGGCGCCTGCCTTTGGCCCAGGGCGCGATCCTGGAGACCCGGGATCGAATCCCACATCGGGCTCCCAGTGCATGGAGCCTGCTTCTCCCTCTGCCTGTGTCTCTGCCTCTCTCTTTCTCTCTCTCTGTGTGACTATCATAAATAAATAAATTTAAAAAAAAAAAAAAAAATTTAAAAAAAAAAAAAAAACAAAAAAAAACATAGGCTTCAAAGTGTACAGTAATTTCAAAGAAATCAAATTCAAATTTCTATTTCTAGTTCAGTGAATTGGGTTTTAATAAGTAAAAAGTAAAATTTCTTTGTATGCCTTCTAATTTTCTAATTGTTTTCATTAGGAGAAATTTTAAAGATAAAAAATTTAAGGTCTTACGTTGTTACTTCTGTCTTCCCTTAAAATTTTTTTTAAATTTATGTTATTCAATTTTTGGAAGTTTTTTCCCCCCCCATGAAAAATAGTAACTTTTTCTGCTCTCACTGGTGTGGTCATACTTGCTATAGATATTCCTATGTTATCTTTCTTGCCTTTTATCTTTCTTTGAGTACCATAGTCTATTAAGTTATTATGTTTTTCTTTTATTACTCTTGATCACATCTTATTAATGTTTTAATCAAATCATGTTCTTTCATGAATTGCACATTTCTTTTCACAATTACCTGGTTGTTTCAAATATTTAAAGGTAGTATAGTATATATATAGTAATATCTATTTACTTCTTAAGAGATGTGAAATTTTAAAAGATTCTGTATGAATTATCAAAGTAAAAGTGTACTTAAAAATACATTTATAAAAGATGCATTTATAAAACTAAAATTTTTCACTGACATTTGGGTATGATAAGTAAGATATGTGAGAATAGATAATTTAGAACTAATGTTCTACAGTTTGTTTAGGGAAGGGAGACACATGGGACTAATGTATTTTATTGAGGTAAGTTTGGCAGTCATTGCTAGTTTTAGAGTAGTAGTTATGAGCTAAACAGAAATTGTGTTGTGCAGTTTCCTAATGATCTTGTGAGTAAAACCTCCATTCCTTTGCTTTATGCAGTATTTTAGTTGTTGCACTTAGATTTTTTGTGCTGATGGTGCCAGATGTCTGTGACAGATCAGTTTTTGCCTATTTCTTTTATTAACTTATTTTGCCATTACATAGCAAATTTGAAAGAAAGTATGTGTGGTTAGGCTTACCTATAAAGAAAGACAAGAATTTTGTAATATTCTATGATGGATTATTTAAGAATATGCTGTTTATAATACGACTTTTTTATCCTTTAAAACTCTTTCATTAAATTTTTATTTATTTTATTTTTTAAAGATTTTATTTATTAGAGAAGAGAGAAGGGGAGAGCACAAGCGGGGGGGGGGGGGGCACAGAGGGAGAAGCAGACTCCCGGCTGAGCAGGGAGCCTGACGAGGGACTTGATCCCAGGCCTCTGGGATCATGACCTGAGCCAAAGGCAGATACTTAACCAACTGAGCCACCCAGCTACCTACTTTTATTATTTTTTAAAAGCCAGAGTTCTATGCATGATCAAACTTTGATTCCTTAAGAGATACTGTAATAGGTGTTTGAAAAACTTGTGACAGCATTAATAATTAAAGAGAGAATTTCAACATTTTAAGAAAAGATAATATTGGGCAGTCCAGGTGGCTCAGCGGTTTAGTGCCGCCTTCAGCCCAGGGCTTGATCTTAGAGACCCGGATCGAGTCCACGTCGGGCGCCCTGCATGGAGCCTGCTTCTCCCTCTGCCTGTGTCTCTGCCTCTCTCTCTCTCTCTGGGTCTCCCATGAATAAATAAATAAAATCTTAAAAAAAACCCAAAACAAAACAAAAAAGGTTTCCAGGTGCAGGGTTGGGAGCAAATAACTTTTAAAAATGTAGCCTATGTAGTTGATTTAGATCACAGTTCTGGATATTATATTTGGTATAAAAGTATCAGTAACTGGAATATTTTTAAATTTTTTTAAGGATTTTTAAATTTTTAAAAAGACATTCTCTTTTTAAAGATATTAACAGAGGCTTGGAAAGTTAGGTTTTTGTTCATTTTTTATTTTTTATTTTTATTTATTTTTTAAAGATTTTATTTATTTATTCATGAGAGACACACACACACACACACAGAGGCAGAGACACAGGCAGAGGGAGAAGCAGGCTCCACACAGGGAGCCCGATGTGGGACTCGATCTGGGACTCCAGGATCAGGCCCTGGGCTACAGGCGGCACTAAACTGCTGTGCCACTGGGGCTGCCCTGGTTTTTTTTTAAAACTCACCTCTGCTAGCTAGGTGTCTTTGTAGATGAAACTTGATAGTCATTTTTTTAACATGGTTTATTCTGGTTTTAAAAATCTTGATCATTTTTATATTTAGCTTTTATATACTTCAAACTTTTTCAGTAGTTTGATTACAAGTACAATATTAAATATCACAAAGTTTTTTGTGAATGTTGTTGAAAGGTTTTTTTGTTTTAATATTTATTAGAAATATTAATCAATTTAGGTAAGTAGTCTTAAATAAAACTCAGGACCTTTTGCAAATTTAAGTGATAAGTTTTGTATTATAAGAAAGGGAATTGCTTTGTGGCTTTGTTTTTAGTAACCTGTCATTTTCCAGAAATAATGGTTAAATAATGAAGACAAAATAGTCTAAAAGTGGACTTTGAAAGCTCGGTCTTAAGTTTCATGAAAAATTATTAAGTTATTTTTAGTTACATAATACCTTCTCAGATTGAATTCATGTTTTAGTCTTACAGTATGCTCCTTAGCATTAGTTAACAAGGCTGTTAGGTTAAAGACTTAAAAATTTTATAAGTATGGAACAATATTAAAGAACTAAAAATAATGTGTCAAATGGCTTAGGAGGGGTGTGTATATGTTTTAAGGACATATATTTTCTGGTTACCTGATGCTAGCTTATAGAAGCTAATTCGATTCTTGAGTAGATCAGAAGATTAAAGAATTAAAGATATAATTACATACCTTTTTTGTATGTTTCCAGATATTACTTTTCATAATTTAATCTTTAGTTCACATAAGCATAATGAAGAAGGGCCTGGGGTGTCATCCTTTAAGCAGCTCCTGAGATATGTCATTTCGGAGATTTACTTAGTGTGCTTGTGAGAAATACTAGTATTTATTTTGATTTATGACAGTTGAATTTAATAGGATCAATAGTAAATTCTCCAAATAGTTATTTGAATTTATAAGATCCAAAAAAATTTTTTAACTCTCAAAATTAAAAATATGTTCTGACTTGATGGTCACCTTTTTGGAAACTTTAGTAATTTGTAGCTTAGATATTGATCCATAACTTGCTTTTAGCAAAATATTGTCAAACATTATGAAAAACTTCATTTGAACTTTTTTAAAGTTTTTTTTTCAACCTGTCAAATAATCATTTTGCCTTTTTAAAATTTAAAACACTTAGAATTTATGTTTTTTTCAATTAACTTAGGAACACTTTAGTAAATGTATTTTTAGAAACATGTTAATAAGGCAGTGTGGTTTGTCATTGCAGGTTTATCAAGTAGAAGATGTGTGTGAAGAAGAAATGCCGGAAGAGTCAGATGAATGTGTCCGGATGGACAGAACCCCACCGCCCCCCACACTGTCCCCAGCAGCTATAACTGTGGGGAGAGAAGATTTAACTTCTGAGCATCCTTTGTTAGGTGAGGATATACCTAAATTTTGGGGAATTTTCTATTGTTAGTAATACAGTTTAGTAAAGTGAGTGAAGTTTAATAACTGGAAATGGTATTAAACTGATTTTTTCTGTAATTGCAGCAAAATATTAATAGAACTCGATTTTTTTTTAATGAACAATTAAAAGAGTTGTTGAAGAACCACTGAAATAAAAAAAAAACATACTTTAGGGCAGCCCGGGTGGCTCAGTGGTTTAGCGCCGCCTTCAGCCCAGGGCATGATCCTGGAGACCCGGGATCAAGTCCCATGTTGGGCTCCCTGCATGGAGCCTGCTTCTCCCTCTGCCTGTGTCTCTGCCTTTCTCTCTGTGTGTCTCTCGTGAATAAATAAATAAAATCTTAAAAAAAAAATAGCTTTGTAGTTTTTAGTGGTTTGCACAGATACATTTTATATGCTCATTCAGATTCATGTGTCAAGCTATTTCTAAGCTTAAAAATTAGAATAAATCAGAGTTCTATTAAAAGATTTTAGTTATATTTACCAGAAATCACAAAGCATGTTGAGTCCTATCTGAGATGCCTCATAATTGCTTGTGATCCAGGCTGAGGATGTTTTTAAAAGTGTTCTTTCTCAGACAGTTCTTAAACTTCACTAATTCTTACTAGAGACATCTTTTTTTTTTTCTTTAAACATGGGGCTCGAACTCATGACCCTGAGATCAAGAGCTGCATGCTCTACCGACTGTTAGATTTTTGAAAAATTTATAAATAATTTATTTAGATTGAGGTTGGCAGACTAGCTCATGCTTTAAATCTTTCCTGCTGTTTTTACATGGCTCATGAGCTGAGGATGGTTTTTAAATTTTTAAATGGTTGAAGAAAATCAAAAGAGTAATATTTCATGCCATGTGAGAAAAATATGCAGAATTCAAATTTCAGTGTCCATAAATAAAATTCTGTATAATACAGCTACATTCACCTGTTCAAATATTATCTATGTTTACTTCTGTATTGCTGTGGCAAAGAAGAGTAGTTGCAAAGCCCATATGGCCCTTTAGAGAAAGCTTGCTGACCCTGACCATTAGATAATACTAATCTGATTCAGTCTTCCATGTAAGTATTCAGTTCTCTAGAACATCTCATGGCCCTTGTAATTATTTACAGTAAACAAGAACCACTGTCACCTGATGGAAACAAATTGTAATCAGTCACTGACTTTGCTACCAAAGCTACCCTTGCCCTCCCTCTTTTTACAAGTGTGCCACTGCTCTAACCCTTCCCTTCTCTCTGATTTTATTCCCTATCAGTGTGACTCTCTTGAAAGCACAGAAGGGGAAAAACAGTTTTCTTTTTTTTTTTAATTTTTTTTTAATTTTCATTTATTTATGATAGTCACACAGAGAGAGAGAGAGAGAGAGAGGCAGAGACACAGGCAGAGGGAGAAGCAGGCTCCATGCACCGGGAGCCCGACGTGGGATTCAATCCCGGGTCTCCAGGATCGCGCCCTGGGCCAAAGGCAGGCGCCAAACCGCTGCGCCACCCAGGGATCCCGAAAAACAGTTTTCTTCCAATATTTTCTCCCTGCTGAAAAATAGAAAATGTCTAGTCAAATAAAATTATATAAAATATTTGACAAGTTTAGTAGTACTGCCTGTGTGTTTATTTATAATCATACCACAAAAGGTAGATTAAGGCAAATCTATAGTATTAAATCTTTGTAGTTTCTCTACACTGAAAATGGATTTAATGTTCCCGAAGTTTGATTTAAAGGCAGAAATAAAAGTTTAATTGAATACTAACCTTGCATTGTGACTATGATTTAGTTACCTAAAAAGCATTAGTAATAGTAATGCAAAGAAAATTTGAATGTTTCTGAAATATTGGAACACAAGAACATCTTCACATTTTTTTCCTCAATAATACAATTCAACATCCTGTCAATCATTTACCTCTGGCTAAATTGCCTGTGTATAGTGTAGACTTCTGAATCTTCCTATAACTTATTTCATACTAATTATACTCTTTTGCAGTGTATATGAGGGGGGAAAGCAAGCACAGGTTGATTATTAGAATATCTCATCAAATCACGAAATAAACTGACCTGCGAACATAAAGGGATTTGTTTCCATCCAGCATTGTTTTCATAAATCTCTAAAAATTCCTTAAAAGTAAAAAACAGCCATAAAAAAAGGTGGAAAAAGCTCATAGATCTTACTCAGAAAATGAGTCTTTGAATAGGCAGAGAGTACCCTGTGGCAAAGTTCTATTAGTTGTGTTTTCTTTCACAGTTATCTTAAATCTAGAGAGTGTAAAATTGTGTTTTTGTTCTACTGTAATACATCAGTGTTTCTCACATGTTTTAACAGCTGATTGTACATTGGCAAGTAATAGCTATTAGCTTCTTCAGAAGTCAGTAACTTACAGCTCTAGTTTTTTTTTTTTTTTTTTAAAGATTTTATTTATTTATTCATGAGAGACACAGAGAGAGAGAGAGAGAGAGGCAGAGACACAGGCAGAGGGAGAAGCAGGCTCCATGCAGGGAGCCCAGTGTGGGGACTTGATCCCGGGACTCCAAGGTCACGCCCTGGGCGAAAGGCAGGCGCTCAACTGCTGAGCCATCCAGGCGTCTCAACAGCTCTAGTATTAAAAACATTTAGGGTGTTAAAAGATGGGCGCATTTGTATGTATGATCTAAAAATTAATTAGAGCATACGCCAAGCCGGTATTTTCTTAACAAACTATATTATACTTAATGTAGCTTTATATAAATATTTTTAGAGCTTTCATTTATTTATTTTAGAGGGAGAGAGAGCTCAAGCAAGGTGGTTGGGAGGGGCAGAGAAAGGAGGAGAAGGAAAGAATCTCAAGTGGACTCCGTGCTGAGCCGGGAGCCCAACATGGGGGCTTGATTTCACAACCCCGAGATCATGACCTGAGCTGAAACCAAGAGTCAGAGGCTTAACTGAGCCACCCAGGTGTCCCAAGGCAGCTTTATATTTCTAAAGTAACAAGTATCTATAAGTCTGTAAGGGACATAAAGATTTTATCTTATTTTTCAGTACCTCATAGATTTATATTTTCCTTTAAACAGAAAAAGTACCTTTCAGTCCCACTTTAGAATTTTATAATTTTTATCCCTCTAGGAGTAGATGTGACGATTTGGTATGTGGGATAGGATTTTCCTGGAGTTCCTCAGTCTGGTAATGCGTGTGTACAATGTTGTGTTTATTCCCTGAAATCAGCAAACGAGCATTTTCTGTTGACTTTCTTACTTAGTTTTTAATAAGGGATTGTGTAATTTTAAACTGGTTTTCCAGTGCAGTTTATCTTGGTGGATTATTTAGTGGAACTAGGTTAATAAATGGCTTATAATAATGCTATGATAAGCAATATTATATCAATCACATTGGTGTTTGTGAGTGTGAATTGTTAGAGCTTTTCCATTTCTGAGATTATACAGATAATAACTACACTATTTTGTTAGCTGAAATTTTTATTCTCTAGGGATTCCTATTCTCTACCTAAGATTTTGAGCATCTTCGGTAGTGGTGTCAACCCTTTTTTTACTAGTGGAGAGGAATTACCATAGCAATTTAGAGCCTTGTCTCAAGAACTGACTCTCTAGGTTACTATCACAGCTCCATTACCTAGTTAGGTGTGTGCCCTCCAGCAAGTTACTTTATCTTTTTGTTTCCACACTATGAAATGGAGATGACAGTACTGCATACTCTTGGGGTAGTTTCGAGGGTTAAATGAGTTACAACATGTGAGGCATTTATACGGTACCTGGCATGTGAAGTGCTCAGTAAGTTGTACTATTATCTTTACACATGAGCTCTTTGTTGTTTTTCTTAGACATCTGTACTCACATATATTTTTAGCTGCCATCTGGTTCTATCTTTCTACTTTAGTACAGTCGGTAAAGGTTTGGTGCCTTTTTTTTTTTTTTAACATTTTATTTACTTATTCATGAGAGACACACAGAGAGAGGCAGAGACACAGGCAGAGGGAAGAGCAGCCTCCATGCAGGGAGCTGACATGGGACTTGATCCCTAGACCCCGGGATCACGCCCTGGGCGGAAGGCAGGCGCTAAACCGCTGAGCCACCCAGGCGTCCCGGTTTGGTGCTATTATATGGGTAGGTAAAGTTGATTACAGGCTATGGAGTCTTATTGTGGTCTTCAGAGTTTGAAGGGGAGGAATCACAGTGATCCAACCCAATATTTGACAATTGCCTGATACTAAAATGTTCCCCCAAATTGACATACACAGGGCCACTGAAGAGTTGTTAAAGAAAAATTGTGCATGGATTTGGATTAGCCTTACTACTTGAAATAAAGGTGGTATTGTGTAATTCTTTAAAAATCTGTACTTATTCTATGGATTTTATGCTCCTTTTTTATTTAAGTGTACTTTCAAAGTACTTTTTCCTCCATACCATCTGGAATATATAAATAGGAACATAGGGAATTTAATATCTGTAGCTTGAAACTTTTTTTAAAAAGCAACAATATTCACAATTATTCTTAAATTGATGTTCTAAAACACTTTCATGTCTTATGGGACAGTTCTTTTTAACCAAGATTGGAATGATCACTTTGGGCAAGTTATCCCCTCCTGTAAAGAGGGGATAATAGTGGCTTCTATCTCCTAAGATTAAATGAAATTAAATACAAAGTTCTTAGAATGATGTTTTAAAGCACCAGGTGTGGACTGTTACTGTTATTAATGTTTTTTTTGTGATTCTTTTTTTCATATTTGCCTACACAGAATGCTAAAGATAAAAAAATGACTTTTTTTCCAGAGCAAGTGGAATTACCTGCTGTGGCATCCGTCAGTGCTTCAGTAATTAAATCTCCATCAGATCCTTCACATGTTTCTGTTCCTCCACCTCCACTCTTACTTCCAGCTGCTACCACAAGGAGTAACAGTACATCGGTGCCCAGTAGCATTCCCAATATAGAAAACAAACCTCCACAGGCTATTGTTAAACCACAGATCTTAACCCATGTCATTGAAGGCTTTGTGATTCAGGAGGGATTGGAGCCATTTCCTGTAAGTAGTAAGCAAATTTGTATTTTTTTTTTAATTTTTATTTATTTATTTATGATAGTCACAGAGAGAGAGAGAGAGAGAGGCAGAGACACAGGCAGAGGGAGAAGCAGGCTCCATGCACCAGGAGCCCGATGTGGGATTCGATCCCGGGTCTCCAGGATCGCGCCCTGGGCCAAAGGCAGGCGCCAAACCACTGCGCCACCCAGGGATCCCCACAAATTTGTATTTTTAAAATTATTCCATGTAGCATTATCTTTAATTGTAGTGTATTGTTCTTTAATAAATGCTTACAATTGTTTCAAAAAAGTTGTCAATCCCTTATATAAAATTTCTCTCTGTACTCTTTATGTAATTCCAAATATATTTCTGGAATTTTTATGCTAGCTATATATAAACAAAGGAAAACGTTTTCAAGATATTAAGGATATCAGTTTTATAATTTTAAAGAAAGATCACTGGAAGTGTACTCCAGTGAAGTTATTATCAAGTTGATAGTTTACAATTAGCAGATAGATTTTTTCATTCTTAAATCTCAGTCCTAAACATTATATGGTCTCATTCATTTGGGGAATATAAAAAATAGTGAAAGGGAATAAAGGGGAAAGGAGAAAAAATGAGTGGGAAATATCAGAAACGGAGAGAGAACATGAGAGACTCCTAACTATGGGAAACGAGCTAGGGGTGGTGGAAGGGGGGGGAGGTGGGTAAGGGGTGGGTATGACTGGGTGATGGGCACTGAGGGGGGCACTTGATGGGATGAGCACTGGGTGTTATTCTTTATGTTGGCAAATTGAACACCAATAAAAAATAAATTTATAAAAAAAAAAGTTCCAAACATGAAAAAAAAAATCTCAGTCCTCAGTCAGATTTTAAAAATGCCTTAAAATCTTCACTTCAAAATGGAAGTGCTATTTCTATCACTGAAATTCTTGTAAGTTGAGACTAGCTGTACATAATATATATGCTAGTATCTAGAGATGAACATTTTTCCTTAGAAAATAAAGGCAAGTGGCCAAAGTCAAAGCCAAAATCTAAGACAACCAAAGAATTCATTTCAGAGGCCTTTGAATCATACCAGGTGTTTTAGATTCATGGCTGGTGAAGATCTTGCATTGTGTTAATGGGTTGCTTCATCATTTGCCTTTGTCTTCAGTTAACTGTGTATTTTATTTTTATTTTTTTAAGATTGTATTCATTTATTCATGAGAGACACACAGAGAGAGAGAGAGGCAGAGACACAGGCAGAGGGAGAAGCAGGCTCCATGCAAGGAGCCCGATGTGGGACTTGATCTGGATCTCCAGGATCACACCCCAGGCTGCAGGCGGCGCTAAACCGCTGCGCCACTGGGGCTGCCCTAACTGTGTATTTTAAATTTGGATCTCCTATAAGAATTCTGATAGTGGAGCAGTAGTCTTTTTCCCCTGCTCCTCAGGGTTTGGATCTTGGCAGTGTTGCATACATAACCTTTGTTAAGTCACTCAACCTTTTTGATCTTCATTTTTGCTCATCTGGCAAGTAGAGATGATACTTTGCTCTGAGGGTTGTTGTAAGGATTATATGTGCAAATATTGTTTTCTGCAGTGCCTGGCACTTGATACCCATAGCTGCTATTATTAATAATCACTAGTGACAATTACAACTTTTTTTCTGATTATAAAATTAATAATGTTTTATTTTGAATGGAAAATATGGGAAACATACAGAGCAAATAATCCTCAGTAATACCACAATGTGTATTTTTTTACATATATATTTCATATGATCAAGATTATCATATATATAGTTCTTCTTTCAGTACAGCTAGAGCTTTTGTTTTTTCATATGATTAATAGTACTTTGGAAACATTTTGAAAGGTTACATAATACTCCACTTTATGGGCAGTCATAATTTACGGGATCTTTGCATTGTTGGACATTTTAGGCTTCCATACTTGACCATTTCTTTAGCACAAATTCTTAGAAGTACAGATATTGAATCGTATTACATATGTATTCGTAAGGCTCATGATATATATTGCCAAATTATTTTCTGGAAAGATTATTTATTTGCTTTATTTTTATTTTTAAAGATTTTATTTTTAAGTAATCTCTACACCCAGTGTGGGGCTCAAACTCACAACACCAGGATCAAGAGTCACATGCCCTTCTTACTGAGCCACCCAGGCGCTCCTGGAAAGATTATTTAAATATATTCACACACCAAGAAGTGGGAACTCTTAGCAGCACTGAGTGTATTACAGTTTCTTCAGCAATACCTTTTGTAAATTTTACTTGAGGCATATTAAATAACCTAACTGAAATGAACAAAATTTAAAAGTTGGGTGATTATTCTCTAAAGTTAAATGGAGAAGTTTATAGTAAGCTATATTGTTCACTATGTATGGCAGATATGGGAGACTTAACCAGCATTCTTAAATAGGTTCTGTTTCAGATTAGCTGACAGTTCACTAGCAAATCAGTAAATATTTTCGGTCTGGATTGTTTGTACTGAAAACATTTTTAAAGTTAGTAGCATTTATGACTTAACCAAGTATATTGAACATGTGAATATTTTGTTACTGATTTTCATGTTAATGTTTGAGGATTTATCTATTCATTTTTGTGTTATCGTGGATTAGGTTGCTGAACTAGGAGTCAGGAGACTGAGTTCTAGTCCTGATTCTGCTTTTGTAAAGAAATCACCTAAATACTTAGAACATTAATTCACTTATCTTTAAAGTACATACAGTAATGATCTATCCTGAGGAGACATTGCTGCAAGTAAAAAGCTTTGTACATGAAAAATAAATCTTGGGATCCCTGGGTGCCTGCCTTTGGCCCAGGGCGCGATCCTGGAGACCCGGGATCGAATCCCACGTTGGGCTCCGGGTGCATGGAGCCTGCTTCTCCCTCTGCCTATGTCTCTGCCTCTCTCTCTGTGACTATCATTCATAAATAAGAAAGAAAGGAAGAAAGAAAAGAAAGAAAAAGAAAGAAAGAAAGATATTAAAAGTTCTTGCAGAAAAAAATAAGGATACTGACTAATCAAAATTTATTACTGGTTTTAATTATTTATTTATTTTTAAAAAGATTCGTTTATTTCAGAGACCGCACAAGTGAGCATGGGGTGGTGGTGGTGGGACAAGTGTGGAAGGGGTTGAGAAAGAGAGAGAGAGAGAGAGAGAGAGAGAGTCACAGGCAGACTCTGCAAGAGTTCAGAGCCCAATGCAGGGCTCAGTCTAATCTCATGGACCCTGAGATCACGACCTGAGCCAAAACAAAGAGTTGGATGCCTAACTGACTGTGCCATCTAGGCATCCCTATTACTGATTTTTAAAGACTTTTTTAAACTACTTCCCTAAACTAGGACACTAGGTTCCATTTGACAGAGATTTTGAAGCATCCATATTGTTGATGACTTGAAATACAAACTGTTGATAATCTAGATTGCCTAAAATTTTCTTAAGGAATAAAAAACACTTAATGAATCTGATCAGTTGAACAAGTAAATTAGCACAGATACTAGTGATTTCAAGAGTTGTTTTTTTTTAACCAAGTTATTTCTGAAAAGCCTTTTATGTATGTATGTATTTATTTATTTATAGATTTTATTTATTTATTCATGAGAGACAGGGAGAGAGGCAGAGACACAGCCAGAGGAAGAAGCAGGCTCCATGTAGTGAGCCCGACACAGGGCTGGATCCTGGGTGCCCAGGATCACACTCTGGGCCAAAGGCAGCACTAAACCCCTGAGCCACCTGGGCTGCCCTGAAAAGCCTTTTAAAAGATTATTTTATTCTTTGTTTTAAAGGTGAGTCGTTCATCTTTGCTAATAGAACAACCTGTGAAAAAAAGGCCTCTTTTGGATAATCAGGTGATAAATTCTGTATGTGTGCAGCCAGAGCTACAGAATAATGCAAAGCATGCAGATAATTCATCTGACACAGAGATGGAAGACATGATTGCTGAAGGTTTGTGGATTTTACTTACAATACTGTTTAAATTAACTTTGACTTTTACCATTTGAAACAGGATATGGATTTTTATTCGACGTATATTTTCACACACTAGGAAGTTATTCACTTTTATTCCTATATATAATGCATTATTTAACTGAGGTAAATGGAAAGCTAATCAGGCCTTTAATGGCCAAATAATTCAAATAGCAAGATTGATGTTTTTAATTTGCATAATGTCAACCTGACTTTTGAAGGAGTGTGGGAGGAAAAAAATTCCATTATATATGAAATTAATTTAGAATTTTAGCATTGAAGCAACCAGTTCTCTTTCTCTCTAAGCAGACTTAATTGTCTGCTTTACTGAGTTTGTTTAATTTAAAGCTCTGGGTTGTTTGGTTTTAGACTTTCTATATTCTGATGGTTGATGTCAGGTAGGTATTACAGTTGTATTAAGGATGTACTTGTCAATCAAGAGGTGATTAAATTTGTTCAAAGAGGAAAATAACACTAAATCTTCGTAATGTCAGAAATTAGACTCAAGTCTAATAGTAAAATATTCCAGGAAAATTAGTCATATACAAATAGACCATAGGAAAACAAACACAAATAAATGCAGAAGTGATATACTTTATTTTTCTTGATTCTGATCATGGCCCTTTAATTATGATACAGTTTAACTTAATCAGATAGCATTTAGTGTGTTCAGAATTCTAATAGTAGTGATTTAATTTGATTTAATTAACATCTACATCTAAGATAGCATTTAGTGTGTTCAGAATTCTAATAGTAGTGATTTAATTAACATCTACATCTAAGTAATTATCCTTAATATCTTATATATTTCATCTAAAATTAATTTTCACATATGTATTGAGCATGTACTATGTGTCTGTACTTTGCTAAAATAAGCAAAATAGCATGCTGGTAAACAAAATAGTCTTTCCCACAGTTTTCCTCATTGTTAAAAGGAAGGCACCTCTGTCATTGTCAGGAAGTTACACACTGTTGAAATGTATTCATCATTGATTTACTTTTTATTTGAACAGCAAAGAGTATGATAGTAGTATAAAATTTGTTTTTTACTGCTAACTTCTACTGAGATCAGTTTGATTTTTTTTTTACTTTAAAAGAATGTTAACAATGAAAAATTTCAAACATACATGAATTAGAATTGTATAATGAATCCTCACTCACCCAGACTCAATATTGTTACCCAATTTCAAACATTATTTTTGCCACACTAGCTTCATCTATCCCTTTTGTTTTCCTCCCTCCATGCCCCCTTTTCTTTCCCTGTTGCTTTTCACTTTCTCTTTTATTCCCTCCTTTCTGTTTTTAAAAAAATTCATAGTCCTCATCTCATTTCACTGGTATATAATTCATTGTGAATTTCTAAAAAAAAAAAAAATCCATTTTAGTATGTAACTATAATGCTATATCACACAAAACAATATTAATAATAAGTCCTTGGGGTCATCTAGTTCTTGGTTCATATTGAGATTTTTTAATTGTAGAATTGTATAAATTGTATAAATATCCTTTTATAGTTATTTTTCAAATCAGAATCCAGACAGTGTCTACATTTTGCTTTTTGTTGTTAGGACTTTAATTTCATTTAATTCCTGGATACTTTTAGTTGTGCATACAATTTTATCTGAGAAAATGTTTCATTTGAGTTGAAGAGTAGTAAAGATGAATATGCAGGGATTTATTTTCTCTCTTTTTTTTTTGGAGGGGAGGGGCAGATTGAAAGAGAAAATATCAAGCAGGCTCCATGCTCAATGTGGGGCCCGACTTGGGGCTGGATCTCACAACCCCATGAGTATGACCTGAGCCAAAATCAAGAGTCAGATGCTTAACCGACTGAGCCACCCAGATGCCCCACAGGGATTTTTTTTCTTCTAACTACAAGAAGTGTATAAAGTGTATAAGTAAAAGTTTTAGGCTAAAAAGCATATATGATGTGCCCTGTTGTGTGTATACATTGGAGAAAAATGGAAAACTGCTCAGGAAGCTTCACAGCATATGTCATGATACTCATGGTTTTAAATGATGATACATAGACATACAGCGTATGTTAGACTGTGTCAGAACCTGAGAGGAGCTTTTAATCTAGTAGGAACTAGTGAATTTAAGATAACTAAGGAATATCATATTAAGTTTTAAATGAATTGTATAGATGGTAAGAACTTGGGAAATTAAAACTGGTTTTAAAACCAGTTGAAATAAACTACACTTTGGTTTTAAAACCACAGTGAGGTATCACCTCACACCAGTCAGAATGGCTAGTATCAAAAAGACAAGAAACAGCAAGTGTTGGAGAGGATGTGGAGGAAAGGGAACCCTCATACATTGTTGGTGGGAATGTAAATTGGTGGAGCCACTCTGGAGAATAGTATAGAGGTTCCTCAGAAAACTAAAAATGATGTGCCATATGATCCAGTAATTCCACTTCTGGGTATTTACTCAAAGGAAATGAAAACACTAATTTAAAAAGATATATGCATCTGTATGTTTATTGCAGCATTATTTACAATAGCCAAGATGTGGAAACAACCTAAGTGTCCATCAATAGGTGAATGAGTAAAGATACGGTATATATACGCAAGGAGTATTTTTCAGCTATAAAAAGGAATGAAATCTTGCCATTTGTGACCACATGGATGGACCTAGAGGGTATTATGATAAATGAAATAAGTCAGATAAAGACAAATACCCTAGGATTTCACTTATTTGTGGAATCTGAAAATAAAACAAGTGAACAAATAACAATAGAAAGATATATATAAATATGGAGAACAAACTGGTGGTTGCTAAAGGAGGGTTGGGAGGCTCGGTGAATTTGGTGAAGGAGATTAAAAGGTACAAACTCCCGGTTATAAAATAAATAAGTCACAGGGCTAATAAGTACAGAAGGAATATAGTGACTAATATTTAATACATGTGTAGCAAGCATTTTATAATGCATGTAATTGTTGAATGCTTCTGTTGTGCACCTAAAACTAATATTACATTTCAATTAAAAAAAAAAAAAACCTGGTTGATGGAATGTTCTGAGTATATGTCATTCAAAGCCACTGTTTCCTTGTTGATTTCTGTTTGGATGATCTGTCCATGATGGAAGTGGGATGTTAAAGTCCCCTACTATTATTATTGGATTATTGTTGATTATATCCTTTCTGTTTCTTATTAACTGTTTTATGTATTTGGGTGCTCCCACGTTGTATGCATAAATATTTACAATTGTTATATCTTCTTGTTGAATTATCCCCTTTATTATAGTGTCCTTTGTCGCTTCTTACAGTCTTTGTTTTAAAGTCTGTTTTGTCTGATGTAAGTATTGCTATGCCAGCTTGCTTTTGACATGCATTTGCATGATAAATGTTTCTCCATCCCCACACTTTCAAGAAAGTATGTCTTTCTGTCTGAAATGAGTCTCTTGTGGGCAGCATATAAATGTATCTTGTGTTTTTATCCACTCTGTTACCCTATGTCTTTTTATTGGAGTGGTTAGTCCATTTACATTCAAAATAATTATTAATAGACATGTATTTATTGCTACTTTGTTACATTTTTCTTTTTTTTTAAGATTTTATTTATGAGAGACACAGAAAGGCAGAGACATAGGCAGAAGGAGCAGCAGGCTCCCTGAGCCTGATGTGGGACTTGATCCCAAGACCTCAGGATCACGACCTAAGCCAAAGGCAGACGCTCATCCACTGAGCCACTCAGGTGCCCCTGTTACTTGTTTTATGGTTGTTTCTGTAGAACACTTGAAAAGAATGCAAACCGGTGCACCCACTGTGGAAAACTTATGTGGAGGTTCCTCAAAAAACTAAAAATACAACTATCCTGCAATCCATTAATAGCACTATTAGGTATTTACCCCCAAAATACAAAAACACTGAGGGATATATGCACTCCTATGTTTACTGTAACATTCTTTACAATAGCCAAACTATGGAAGCAGCCTGTGTCCATCAGTAGATCAATAGATAAAGATGTGATATTTACATATAATGGAATATTAACCATAAAAAGAATTAAATCTTGCCATTACAACAACATGGATAGAGCTAGAGAGTATAATGCTAAGTAAAATAATTTAGAGAAAGATACTATATGATCGCACTCATATGTGAGTTTAAGAAACAAACGACAAAGGAAAAAAAGAGACCAAGAAACAGACCATTAACATAGAGAACAAACTGGTTAGCAGAAGGGAAGTGGGTGAAATAGGTGATGTGGATTAAAGAATACACTTATCATAATGGAACAGAACAAAAGCAACAACTAACCTGGCTGAGATTATTGCCAGTTTGATAGTTTTCTGTAGAGATGAGATTTGATCTGGCTCTTGAATGGGAAGACATAGATTTACGATAACAAACAGGAAGAACCTTTTAGGTTGGAACCATGAAATGAATGTACAAAGGATATTCACATAACTTTAGGAGGGGACAGTGAAGAGTAGACTGTGGGGGAAGAGGAAGGAAAGGATTTATGGAAGACCAGACAAAGGGTAGTTTAATAGGATAAGTTACCAGAGTAAAGAAGAGGAAGATTTAAAGATGATTAATCTATACATTGAGTAGTAAATAAGCCATAGCAATCTAATGCATAGTATAATGAGTATAGACAACAGTATTGCTTAGAGACTAAAACTTCAAAGTATCCCAGTTACTAAAAAGAAAGGATAATTATGTAAAGTGATAGAGGATGATGGAGGTGCTAAATATTGCTACAACAATCATAAATGTATCAAACTAACACTGTACACTTAAATTCGCAGTGTTAAAAGGTAAATATAGTAAAAAAAAAGATTAATCTGTTTCATAGTGGAGATATATTTATGTAGAATATGCCAAATTTGGGGGCACCTGGGTGGTACAGTCTGGTAAGTGTCTGCCTTCGGTTCAGGTCATGATCTCAGGGTCCTGGGATTGAACCCAGTGTGGGGCTCCCTGCTCAGCAGGGAACTTGCTCCTCTCTCTCTCCTCCTCATTTATGCTCTCTTGCTATCTCTGTCGCTGTCTGTCTTTCTGTGTCTCTCTCAAATAAAATCTTAGAATAGGCCAAATTTTAAATATTTGATAATTTAATTTCCCATGGTAATTTTATAAACTGTTTCTATTACTGTTAATTGGAAGTACTATAGGGTGAAATGATGAAGTCACTTGTTTAGTGGCTTTAGTAGGATATACAGTTTAATTCAGTATTTTAGAAACTTAGTATAAGGATTATTCTCTTTTTAAGAATAGTACATGTCATCCATACCTACATTTCAGAGTCCCTTTCTTCATCTTAATAAGCTCTTTGGACTGGTTCTGTAACTAGTATCTCTAACCAGTAGACTGTGATTTACCAGAATATCTTTTCTTTTCCTGGGAAATCACATTGACCATGGTTTCTATCTCATTGCCTCTCTCTTTTGCTTCTTATTGTTACCTGCTCTTAAGTCTTCAGAAAAATTAAAAAGTATCTACTCCTCACACACAGGAAATGGGGACATCCCTTAGTAAGGTTATATGTTTGGCCACTCCATTAGAAACCCAGAATAATATTTGATTAAATAAGGTAGAAGTTTAATTTTTGCCCAAAGGCTTGCAGGTGTTAGGCACCTAAGCTGCCGGTGTGCTATGGCGCTCTCATCCCTAGAACCTTGCTTTCATTTCCAAGATAGCTAATTTTCATTATTACATTTTAATCTGTGAGATGGGAAAAGGACATCTTCTGGAATTTGCAAGCATTTCCATTCATGTGTTATGGATGGCCACAACTAAGGGCAGAAACTGTAGTTTTTCAGAGCCCCTATACCTAGCTGAAAATTAGGATCTTGTTACTGTGGGAGAACCGTGAAGAATGGGTCTTGGGAGAATTACCAGGTGTCTATGCCACAGACTCCCATCTTTATTAGCTACAGGATGTTCCATGAATTTTTGAACTCATTTGGCTCTGTAATTTTTTATTCACAAATGTGAATAAGTGGCCTTGGTAATACCAAATTTGTAAGAATTCTGACAATCATGAAAACAGGGATTTTTGAATGTTAATGTTCCTCTCTTCATTATGAGAAATAAAACGTTCATTTTTTGTTAGGTTGTTAGTACTTAGACCATACCTGTTTGGATCTCCCCTCTCTCACCAGCAAAAACGTTTCCTTCTTTATAGGGAATTCTAACCTGTCAATTGCTGTATGTTGCTACATTAATGAATACAAACTTTTTTAAAGATCTTATTTATTTACTTTAGAGATAGATGGAGAGAGAGTGCAAGAGAGAACCGAGCCAGGGGGAGGAGCAGAGGCACAGGGGCAAGCAGACTCCACACTGAGCACAGAGCCCCACAAGAAGCTCCATCCAGGAGCCTGTAATCATGACCGGAGCTGAAACCAAGAGTCGGATGCTTAATCGACTGAGCCCCCCAGGCGCCCTGAGTATAAACTTTTTAAAACTTCCAGTGTAGTCTGGAAGTGGAACAACTTCATGACTAGATTCTTTGGGGCCACACTGGTGGTAGTGGTGTTGGAGTGAGAGGTTTTGTCTCCTGTCAGACCAGGTTACAAGCATGACAAAGTGAAAACAATACTGGAAGTTGTGACATCAGGTCCCAGGAATGTGTTGTTGAGCCACAGCTGTGTAAAAGCCATTTCTAGGTCATTGGAAGGAGCAATTTTACTTGTTTCAGACTCTTCTCTTTGCTACTCACCAGATGACTTGCTTATGAAAGTAGCCCTGAGTTGTTTTTTTTTTTATAATGAATTCCTGCTAGCTCATGATTTGATCAGTCACATTGATATATTTGGATGTCCCTTGGAACTTCAGATATTTCACAGTATGTGTTTTAGTAGTTCTTGCTGTCTTGTACTGATTTAGCACTTTGCCATTTGCTTCTTTGGTTAATAGTAGGATAGCGTGACTACTTAAACTTTGAGTACATGTCATCCATACCTACATTTCAGAGTCCCTTTCTTCATCTTAATAAGCCTTTGGTGAAATGAGTAACTTAGAAAAGCACACGGGAACTCATAGCTAAAAGCTTTAGTTAGTAAACTACTTTTTTGTGTATTCTGCATGACTTGGCATAGGAATTGTGATAGAGGAACATGGCAAAATAGGGTGGGTTTAAGAATTTAACAGTTTAAAAAAAGAATTAACAGTTTTTATTTCTTAAGTACTTATTACAGGTCTTGGTACTCTTAATTCTTATGTGGAAAATAGAAAATGGAACTGTCACTTTTTTGTGCCTACTAATCTACTGGGTATTTAGGTAGTCTCCATTGCAGTTCTTTTGGAAAAGTATATAAACCCCATTTTACAGATGAAAATACTGTGGGTTAGGAAAATAAAATTGCTTGCTCATAGGTGACTACTGCTGGATAGTTGAGGATTTAGGTAGGAAGTGTCCTTGGGTCTAGTAATATGGCTTGAAGAGACTAAAAGGAACTGTTTTATAATTGGATATCTGTATCTATGTTTTCTGTTGTACACTGCAGACTTTGAAAGTGTTAATTATCTTACATCCTCCTTTAAAATCAAGCATAGCAAAATTTTAGCTTCTTTTTGAAGTCATTTTCATTCTCTGGAGTTACAATCAAGTGTTCTCTGCTGTGTATCTTCCTAACCACAATGCACCAAAATTCATATCCTGCGCAGTGCTTTGAAAGTGTTCCTCCTGGAGGTTGTCACTTTGTCTTACTCATCTTCATTTCTTTTACACTGCTCAGGAAAGTCATTTGCACATTTTAGGTATGTTGGAGTCTTAACAAAATGAGCCTTTAAAAATGCATTGCTTATTTACACAGAGAAAACTCTGTGGAAATGTTTATGGAAGAGTAAGAGGGATTTGGTGGATGCAGCTGTTCTTGAGCATTTTCCTTGCCACAGTGGCTATCGATTAAAAAGTTAAAAGACCATTCCTTAAGTTTTCTGGAGGGACTGAACTAGCTGTATCCAACTAAAGTAGATGCTAAAAGAAAATTTGCCACAATTCAATTTTTGGAAGTTTTTTCCTTTGTTTCTTTCTTTTTTAGAGACCTTAGAAGAAATGGACAGTGAGTTGCTCAAATGTGAATTCTGTGGGAAGATGGGATATGCTAATGAATTTCTTCGGTCAAAACGATTCTGCACTATGTCTTGTGCCAAAAGGTATTTCTGTGCTCTTGACTTTCCTAAAGCGTAAGCCAACGACTACTGTAACAAAGCCCCAGAATTTGTAGAATTTACCAGTAACCAAAACTAGACACTATAATATAGAGGAAGAATACCAAATAGGCATTATCTGGAGCTTTGATATTTAGTTATTAAATTTTTCTGTGTGAAAGTTACATATTTATAACATTTACAGTAAGTTTTACAGCATATTCTAATATTGAAGTAGCAATCTCCTGATAAGAATATGCTCAGGAGACTCTCTCCTGTGAACAGACCTACTAGTCCTTAAAGTATCAGAACAGTATTTGTTTTATCATGTCATTCTTTGATCAATATGAAAATACTAGGATTTACGTTGTTTTGTTTTAAACTGTATTCATTTGTTTTAATTATATCCTGTTTATTCTAGGTTTTTAAGTGGGACAGCTGTAGCACAAGTTCTCCACATTGTTACATCATCAGAGAGCAAAATAATCTTTTCTAAATCTATTTTCAATAGAACTATTATAGGTAAACTATTAATAAAAGAAATGTTCAGTATCTTCATTGTTCTTGTCACAGTTTTAGTTTACGTTTAAAAAAAAAAAACCCTCTGATTCTGAAAATCCAAATATAGATATTTACCACTAGAGGTGAAGTGTATGCACAGGTTATTTTGCAATTTGTTCTGTGTTCCAAAAAGTGATTATTCTCTTAAAGAATATAAGATCTTAATTGTTTACATCTAGGGATTTTCTTGCTTGAACATATGCTTTTGTATGGTGCCACTACAATATACTTAGTAAATTTTAAGTTAAATAAATAATAGGAGTATTTTCCTCCAAAAATGTCTTGATTTGGTTTCTCAGTTGTCAGTCTTTTATTCACATATTATCCTGTGTTATTGACAGCCGTAATAACTAAGTTATGTAACTCCTGTTTTACCTCTGGAGTTTTCCAGTTTGCATACACCACAGAAAGGACAAGTGGCTTTCTGATTCTAAGTGATTAACTACTCTAAGGGAAAAGGACGGTCTTCAACGATATTTAAATATCTTGACTATTAAATATTTCAGAACATTTAACACTACCATCACTCCTCCCAGACATGATTGCTGAGTTGTCAAGTTATTACACCTTTAGGTGAACCTCTTTAGGAGGTTAGGGATCTTAATATAAGGGAAATGCAGATGAGAGAGCAAGGAGAGGATAAATTAAATAAGGGGAGAACTGCTTTGTACATGTCTACCTTGGAGATCTAAATATTTAGGGACTAAATAAGTGTAAGGTTAGTCTCTCTTTGTTCTCTAGTCAGTGGGGGAGGAAGTTTTGTAGACTGCTGTGAATGCAAATCAGAAACCTATAGAGCTGAGCACACAGATCAGTATATTGAACACAGCAGGAACTTGTTGAATCATTTGAAGGTAAAATGAAGTGACCATCAGGACACTTTTAAAAAAATTATACTATTCCTTTTCAGAGTACTCCTTATTCCACCTCCTGATATTTTCATAAAACATAGATGAGGAATATTTATTTTGGTACCTGTATATTGGTCCTAGAATAGTTATCTAGCAAATAGTAGGAAAGTTCATTGGGGTTTATTCTTGTCATTTTCACGAGAAATCTTTGTAGAGCAAAAAAGAGTTTTAAAAATAAGAAATTACAGTGGTGGTTTTATATGTATATAAAAAAAGAAACTATATATATTTTTCTTAGCCTTTCTTTAGCTTTTCAGAAATTTGTTTCTTAGATTCTTTTTGCTCTTCTTTCTAGGGAAGGGGTTGGCAAACTGTACCCAGGCCAAGTCTTTTCCTTCGTTTAGCATATTTTTGGATGGTGCCTGAGTCAGGATAGTTTTTAAATTTTTAGGTGGTTGGGAGAAAAGAATGAAGAAGAATATTTCACAACACATGAAAATTATGTGAAATTCACATTTTAACCTAAATAAAATATTATCAGAACACAGCCGTGATCATTCATTATTGTTTATGGCTCTTTTCATATTACAGTCGCAGGGTTGAGTAGTTGTGACAGAGATTTGTATTGTCCAAAAAGCCTAAAATATCTAGGCCCTTTATATAGAAAAGGTTTGCCAGCCCTGTTCTAGGCCTTGAAACCCAGTAAACAGCATAGGACTCTTTTAAACTGTCAGTCGTGTCTTATAAAGCTCTATATTGAAAAATACTAGTCTATTTAAAAATAATCTTTAAGCTAATTTTAAAAAACTATGTGTATTTGACTTTCCTGAACAGTGAGAACTATGAATTCCTTGTAACTCTGAAATCTCAACTTTACATTTCCAGTCTTTGATTTCAGTAATATTTGAAAAATCTTTTAGTAGCCTTTGAGATTCCCCCCCTCTATTCTCTTAACCTCTTAATCTCTCTTCAGAAATTATTATTTGGGAAAACATCAGTTTGAACATCTACATAATTAATTCATAACTTCATTTTCTCCTGAACCTTGGATTATTTTGCAAAAAATTATCTGTATTTTGCATTAAGTTTCCCACTATCATGCTGTTTTTAGGAGAAAATATCAATATCTTGTTATAGGTGTTCAGTAGTGTATTGAGAGCTATATTATGAAGTACACAGAGGCCATTTTTTGACTGTCAGCATAAGTAAATCCATTGGACACTATGGTTTACTTTCAGAGCTATTACAGTCCTTAATGAAGTACATGGCACTTACTGATTCACAAGTGCACTTTAAAGTCATAATTAAGTACTAAATGGAGTGTTCCATATATCGCTTAATATTTTTTCTTACTTGAATTTCTTAGGTACAATGTTAGCTGTTCTAAAAAATTTGCACTTGGTCGTTGGAATCGTAAGCCTGATAATCAGAGTCTTGGGCATCGTGGCCGCCGTCCAAGTGGCCCTGATGGGGCAGCAAGAGAACATATCCTTAGGCAGGTCTGTAGAAACCTTGCTTCAATGTACAATACCCTTTTCAGAAATGCAAGGAAAGTGCAATGCTGTATTTTACTTGTACTACATTTTCCAGCTTCCAATTACTTATCCATCTGCAGAAGAAGACTTGGCTTCTCATGAAGATTCTGTTCCATCTGCTATGACTACACGCCTGCGCAGGCAGAGTGAGCGGGAAAGAGAACGTGAGCTTCGGGATGTGAGAATTAGGAAAATGCCTGAGAACAATGACTTGCTACCAGTTGCACAAGCAGAGCCATCTATATGGACAGTTGATGATGTTTGGGCCTTCATCCATTCTTTGCCTGGTATGTAATTTACTACTTTGGCCTTAGGTTTTTCTTGTGCGTTCACACACAGGAATGATGTTAGCTCCATCCACACCTATTGCACAAAAGGGCTAGAGAAGTACTATGTATATGTATTAACTAAATGGCATTTGCTATTGAAATGTGATCTGTTTCCTCTTGCTTATTCCCTCAGCACAACTGGGTATTTTCTCATACCCCCCCAAGTCGATAAAAACTGACTAGTCCTGCTTCTGCTGTGATACCTCAGCCGGTGAAGATATTAAAGGTGCTCTCTTCTCTTCAGTCTGATTTCTCTCGAGAGGTCAGTAGAGAGATTGAGTCAGACACTTCTTCCCTTCTGCTCTTCTATTTTTCTATTCTATTTCCTCTTTATTTCCTAATTTAACCTTTTTAAAATAAAATAAGAGGGACTATATATATATATTTTTTGCATTTTTGAAAGCTAATCAAGACCTTTTAGTATATGATAACATTTTGGTTTCTTTTTTAAAAATCAAGCTGGTTCTTTTAAAGGAAGCTGCATTCCTTGATTCTTTTCAATAAGTAGACATCAAGAACACTTCTAAAATTTGATTTTTTAAGTAGACAACTGAAATCCATTTATGATATTCCATTCCAATATTGAGGGTAACTTTCTTTGTTTTTCTGATCTCTCGTTTTGGTACTCTTTCCATCAGCTTAATTCTTTATGTTCTTTATCTTTTTTCTTTAATGCAGCAATCTTTCATATCTACTTTCTCCAAGGGGCTGGTTACTAAAGATAACTGCACCACTGCCCATGATGAGACCTACACTGATTATATATGTTAAGACTATATTTTTTAAAATCAGCAAATCTTATTCATTTTGACCTTATGAATGTGAAAAACAAGGAGACTTTTTAAATGTTTGCTCCACTTTGATTTTATTGTGAATCATACTATTTCTCTTGACACAAGCTTTCCAGAAAAATATATCCTCTTTGAACTTATCTACAGACTTATTAAAATTAATTCAGCTATTTTTGCTGATTAGTCTTTCTGTGAAGGTAACCACTATCTCCGAAGCAAATTTACAGTTAATGTGCTGAGTGAAGAAAGTATATTCAGAACTATTACTGCTTAAAAAAAAAAAAAAGACTGCCGTTTTACCTTATATACAGCATTCTTATGACATTTTTTCAGTAGCTTGTTTCAGAAATGCTAAATAAGTTTTCTTTTTTTTAAACAAGAGATATGGTCACTTTTAAAGGAAGATTGCAGTTGTTTGAAGGGAATACGTTTTTCATGGAAGATTTTTAAGCATGCACCTAAGAAAACTTAGATGTGAGTTAAGTCCTGATAGGTTTAGAATCTGCTTCAAAACTGATATGTTAGAAGATGATGAGTCTTCACTGGTTGTGGTTTTAATACTTAATGACATAAATTTTAATTTTTAGACTGGTCTAAGTATCTTGAGAATTAACACTGGAATCTGTACTGATCCCCTAGGGCTAGACTTTGATATTGTCATCTTCAGAAGTAGTCAGTCTCAGTCTTCCACATGGGCCCTGTGAGCTGTTAGCCTGATTTCATTTGGGGAAACTATTTTCTTTCCTTGGAGGGGGTGGGGGTTGGTTCTATCCTGAGGAAAGTATTTAGTCAAATAATGAACAAACAATAGGTATCTGATTCTTCTATCATTTCATATGCTTTTTCTTAGGGCTGGTTTTTCTAATTTTCCCCAACATTCGTTTGCCATGAGGTTACTCTTGGCTACTCTGTTGGAACGAAGGCTAAACTCCTGTCTCATTCTTGCTTCATTTCAGTTAAGACAACAAGATGGCTTATATTTGAGATGCTGTGTTAGTTAATCAGGACCCAATTTTGTTGCCAGCTATTTAGAGAACATTACTTATCATTAAAGGGAAACTGCTTTATAATTTAGAACTGCTTGGTACTATGTAAGAGTCTGCTTTGCTTTTACTGATTAAATGGGAGTATTTCCAAACTTCTTTGCAGGCTAAATAACAGGCTTATTTCTGTGATTAGTTACATCTTCTTTCCCAGTGTTTCTCTCTGAGAATGCCTGTGGCCTAAAGTAAAATCTCATATCAGAACATGCTTTTGTCTTCATTTCTCTTTGCTCCTCTGGCCTTTGTAAACATCTTTTGAGCCTCTTTCAAGCTCATTTGGGGCTGTGTTGTTCCCCCCTCCCAAGTAGTCTACTCCCAAACTTTTCTCATAAAATGAACAAGCTTACAAATTTTGTAATCCCTAGTATTTTGAGATAGGCTTCCCTCTTTTATCAGGACACCTATATTTACTCCTAGAGTTTTCTCTTCTCTTTGTATAATGTCATCTTGTGAACTATGCTGGTGGGAACGTTATTAGAGCCAGTATGTTGTATATCCAGTCTCGGAACTGCTACCACAGTGAAAAATTACTTTCCTTTGGGGCGCCTGAGTAGCTCGGTCATTTGAGTGTCTGACTCTTGGTTGTGGTTCAGGTTGTAATCTCAGGGTCATGAGATGGAGCCCTGAGTCAGGCTCCTTGCTGGGGCCTGGAGCCTGCTTAAGATTCTCTCTCCTCCTCCCGCTCTGTCCCCATCCCCCCATAGCTGTGTGTGCTCGCTTTCTCTTTCTCTAAATTAAAATTCATTTTCTTCTAAATTTTTGTGCATTAAAAAGTTTTCTATAGGAAAACTATAGGATTCCTTCTTATTTTCAATGAACTGTGTGTGTTATCTTAACTCTTGATACAGTGCAAAGATCAGTTTATTCTGTATTGATTTGTGAATCTGTAGTAGATTGGGTTTCTCTGTAGGCATATAGAGTAGGAATTACCTAAAAACATATGACTATTGGTTTTCATAATACTAATATTGGGGACTTGTTTATTATGTAATACTAAGTGGCAGGTGATACAGTCACCAGGCTTACTGAGATCATTTTTGTGCAGAGTGTTTTGTTTTTGGGTTTAGCTGGAAAAGTGACTGGATATTGCAAAGTTCAGTTGGGACTCAGGTCCATTTGCAGAGGTCCACGCCCATCCTGATAAGCTGCTTCTGGTGACATAAAGCCAGCAGTGCTGACTGGTTGCTGCAGTTGGTATAGGTTTTGTATGAGTCCCTGGGGCACCAGCTGCTTTAGAGAGGTAGATTCTATCAGAAACTCATTGAACTTTAGCTCAGTATACCTTGAGCATCTAAAAAGTTTTTGAAAATTCATTTTTCTTTAATGAGTTTCTGGAAAAAAATTTGCTTCTTTTTTTTTCTTTCTCTCTTTTTTTTAAGTAATTTTATTTTTTCATTCCTATACTAATGTTTAGTATAACTGCTCTTTGTAGTGATTGGCTTATGGAAGTTGTGATCTGAAATTCTGAAGATAATGCATTCCTACTCAATCATGCTGTTTCTCAAAACATTTTTTGTTCTTTATTAGTTTGCTAACACATTTACTTACCACAAGAAGACATTTGAAGAGGGATCTCACAATACAGAGGAACAAAACATGCTATATATATCTCCTCATGGAAAACTCCTTGTTTCTATTCCCAAATGTAGCTCTTACAGTCCTCATTACTTCTCATTGCTCCTGTTTCCTGAATCTAAGTAAGTCCTGCCCTGTCTTTCTCTCTCTTCTTTTCTTTCCTGTGTTCTTGTAACTAAGACTGAAGAGAGAAGAACATTAGTTCTTTCATAAAAAGAAGGATGAAGTCACAACTAGATGCAAGATTAGTCAGTTTTGTCTGCCCAGTTTTGAGAGCTACCTCTGGGAAAAGAAAGGGAGCTTTTCTATGGTGAGTAATCCCATTTTAACTGTATCATTTCTTTTATATGGTAAATGGGCAAAACCACAACAATCTGCTCAGGGTACTTTTGAAATGTCAGTTTTAAAGTCTGAGAAATTAAAATGGAGAAATTGAAAAGCTGGCTGCTATATATGAAACAGGAAAGAAACAACTAACAGAGAATATGGGAAAAGAAATAACCAAGAGAAAAGATGGCCATGTAGCTGAATACAGAATAAAGTGTATTACTCTTAAAAATAGCTCCTCTATAGCACATTCTGTTTTTGTTTATTGTTTGTTTATTCACTCATCTAGACCTTCACTTACACAAAAACATATGTATTTAGCATCTAACAATGCTTTGTGCTTGGTGTAGGGGTTATAGGGATGACATCATTATCTTAGGTAAACAAGTGGATGATACGTTTGCAATAGATGGGATAATCATTCCAGCAAAGTTGTGAGAGCCAGTGGTATAATGTAATCATTCCCATTATTCATTATCTCTGTGCTTTCTCTTAGAATCCTGATTTGGATAAAATAGACTTGAAGCTCTTAGTTTTTACTATTAAATTCATTTTTATAATTTCACTGTCTCTTCTAAGGAAGCTTCTACATTATTGCATTCTCTCCTTTCTTGGTTTCTTAAACTCATTACCTTCCCTGGTTGTTTCTTTACCCTTAGTGGGGAAGTTTATTGAGTAACCTAGTTGTGCAAAATTTGGTAGATAATAAAAATGTTTGAGGTTTAAGTAGATGTTAGTAAAGCACCTGGTTTACGCTGAGAGAAAATATTTGGCAAGAGACTAGGGGGCAAGTTCATAATGTCAATGGGAATTTATGTTTTCTTATCAAAAGTGGAGACAAGTCCAGTGATACTAAGATTTGAAGTTGAAATTACAAGTTGAGCTGTGAAATACATTTCAACAGCATTGCAATAGATTGATATTACAGTCTTGTTGGTTTGGTTCTTTCCTGAACAAAAAATAAAAATGTTTTACATGTGCTTGGCAATTGAAGGTTGTAAATTAGAGTAAGGTACAAATGATAATGAAAGTGGTACACTGGTAGTTGAGAAAATATTTCTAAATTGTTAACATGACAGAACATTATATTTTATTTCTCTATACCTGTATGTGAAGGGTATACTAAACAGAAGAGTTCATGAGGTATAATAACTAGTTAATCCAAACTTGTTATACGTGTGGCATATTTTGAGGTAATACCATTGTCCTTTTCGTCAAGGTATTATGTCAGAACTGATGAATCTACATTTTTCCTGACTCTTACTATTTCTATAATAATATTTTTAGAACAAGAATTCCAAGTAAATTGTTTTACCTGGCTTTTGAATTAATTCTTATTTTCAGAATGCCAAGAAATACTCTCTTCTTCAGGAGTGAACCCAAGACTACCAAAAATAAATTTCATTTGTTTCTCAGCCTGTATTTCAGATACTCAGACCCACTGAGTGCATAACTATGACTGTTAGAAGTAACATCTAATTGTTATGTATTAATGCTAACTTCCTTTCTCTGATCAAATTCCAGGCTGTCAAGATATCGCAGATGAGTTCAGAGCACAGGAGATTGATGGACAGGCCCTTCTTTTGCTAAAAGAAGACCATCTTATGAGTGCAATGAATATCAAACTAGGCCCGGCCCTAAAGATCTGTGCACGCATCAATTCTCTGAAGGAATCTTAACAGGATCATGAGGCTGTGAGAAAACAGCAGTTTTACTCTTCTTAAACAGACTTGTAAGGTAAAGGCTCAAGTTGGCCTAGAATATTATCATATATTGTGGTGGATAGCCAAGCACATTGGGATCTCCACATCAAAAGCTGACATTTCTTCTACAGATATAATTCATCATACATTTTCATAATTAGCCAACATTGGTAAAATTAATTTTACAGGTTACATGCAACAATGAAAGACTTGATATAGAGGGCCATGATATTTTTCAAAGAAACGTGTTATACTAGATAATTTTTTAAAGGTGATGTTTATCGTTAATATAAAGAATCCTTTTAAAAGTAATTTAATGATTTACATTTCTCCTCTTTTGATTCGGTTTTCTTACACATTTTTCTACCCTGTAAGTTTTCTATAGGTTGCCATGAGAGAGATAATTTAGGAGTAATTTAGGAATAGTTTAGAAGTCCAGTGACTGGAATTGTATGCAATGAGATATCAGTGTGCATTTTAAAAAACCTGTCTGTCAGACAATTGCTTTGTCTATAAAAAAGGATTGCATTCTAGCATGAGTAATACTGATCTGGAAGTCAGAAGTTTGGTTTCTATTCCAAACTTGCCCAAGAATTTGGTGCGGCTGAGAAAGTTAGTTTTCCTTTTAGTTTTTGTATATTTAGAGCAGTGGTTCTCAACAGAGGTCAGTTTTGCTCCCCAGGGGACATTTGACAATGTCTAGGGACATTTGGTTGTCATGGCTTGCAGGGGCTGGGTAGGATTGTTGGCATGTAGACCAAGGAGGACAGGGATGTTCCTAAATATCCCACAGTGCACAGGACAGTCCTACAAAACAAAGATAGATCTGGTCCAAAATATCGAGTACTGTCAAGGTTTGGAAACCCTGACATAGGAGTGATAAAGGTAGCTCTTTTTTACCCAAAGGGATATCTTGAAAAGATGGGACATAATAAGGAATACATGATACAGTGGAAATAGTTCAGACAGCATTAATGTTCTGCCAAAGTATTTTTCCCAGTTTTATGCATACTAGAGAAAAGAAAACTCCAAACTGACCTGTAAAATAAGGGATAGCATACAAATAATTTTACTCTCAGAAAGTACAGATTCATATTAATTATCTTTCATATCTGCTCCTCTGCACTGATGAAGGCATAATGTGATTATACCTTATGAACCAGTGCATAGCCTTTGCTGGCATGACAGTAGTTTGTGGTGGGTATGTGGTTGGTCTTTAGACTTTATTCTAACCTTGAACATGCTGGGTCTAGCTAGAATGCACATTCCTTTTTCCTTGACTAAACCCTCGCATGCTTCCTACGAAGTACCCACCAAATAATATCTCTTGGATTATCAGATTTAATTTTATATGTACATGTTTTAGGGAAAAAAAGTTCAAAGGAGAATTTTTCACTCAACAGTTAGTGTCCTATCAGAATTATGACATTAAAATAAAATTGTTATGGGAGCCCTGAGAGCCTTATAGTCCTGGACATAAAAAATTTGTTTTAACCTTGTTTTTTTATATCTTTATCACACGATGGAAATGTTTTAAAATAGAGGGATCATATACAGATATTTGGCAGAAGTTCAGTAAGTGGGGAAGAGTCCATGGGTTTCAGTCATTGTCACTGCTCTTTTCAAAAAGATTGTGTTGAGCTAGTAGAGGACTAAAGATGTCATTAAGGACATCACAGATATTTATCTTTTGGCTTTGTGTACATTAGAGAATGTTGATTATTTTTATACAAAAATACAGCGGGTAATTTTTTTAATCTTTAGATGCCTCTTGTTTGAATGTATGCTTTGTGGGATTCTTTCGTGTAGTAATGTTTTAAAAAAAGATGTTTACTGATAGTTATGTGTAGGATTAGAATGTGTAATATAGTGTAAGGCTCATGTTCCAGACCTACAATAGCTTGTAGTCTACGTTACATATTTCTTTCTATCATGTTTTTAATTATTGGATTAAAGTTTCAAGGAAAGGTAGGTACTCTACAGTCAATGTTCACTTATTAGCAGTTAATCGTTATGACAGAGTTGTCATGTGCTTGACTTTTCCCCCTCATCTTTAAGTTTCAGAACACAAGTATAGGTCAAGTGTTAGTAGGAGGTGGCCCACTGTAGGGGGGGCAGGGAGGGCACAAAGGAAAATCTTCCCTGGAATTAAAACTTTATCATAGATAATCCATAAAAAATTGATTATTTGGGGATAGACTCCCCTAGCAATAGTGATTACTTCCCATAACTATATGATAAGATAGCCTTTAAGGTATTAAATTTGAGTTTTGTATAGGTTCTCCTTTTATTTTCTTCCTTTTCTAATACCAGTCATTATGTACTAACTGAAAGCCCCTGTGCCTAGCACTGTGTTAAATATCCCAGCAAGCTTCTAAGAAGGGGGGTTTCCACTTGAGAGCACCTTATAATCTTAAATCTTGTAATAATCTCAAGACTAGTCCAGATCTTCTCTTGGTGGCACTCAAAACATACCTAGAAAATATACTTGCTTTTTTCAAGTGAGCTGTTTTATTCATTTGCTCAACTGGTAGTTTTCCCTGTTGATGCAGCTCTGCAGCTCTTTCTTTCTAGAGGATTTAACCATCTTAAAACCAGCGCTTCAGTTACATATGATGGATATGGACGATAACACTGGGCGGCCACCTCCCTCCTAAGTTCTGAGCACAGTTCTGGTATGATGTAGGTGGGGAGAGTTATTTTCTCTTTCCTTCACACTACTGATTGTTTTTAGGATTTTCATTGAGGAGAGGGAATGACAAAAAAGGGACATGGGAGGTTCTTCCTACTTTTGCTACCTAAGTTTGCATTTTCCGACTTCTTTAAACTGATGCACTCTTTTCCCATTGAGGGAAACAAAACCTACACTTTTCAAATTTTATTTGCTTTAAGCCATGTGTTCCTAAGAAAATAAACTGAGAGCTGTTTGTAAACGTTTTTACATGACATGGATTTTCATCAAGCCTTGTGTAGGCACGTGTCTGACAAGCTGTGCAGCTTTGATATAGTCACTGTCATATGAGGCAGAGTGCTGTTCCCAAACCCATCACTTTTTAAGTGACACATAACTCTCTCCAGAACGATACTTTTAATTTGCTGTGGCATCACTAAACAGCCATTTTTCTTGGTCTCAGCTTAAGGGCTGTCAGGGAGGAGTAGAGAAGGTGGAATGGGGCGGGGAAGACATGTTGGTGAAGAAGCTGGAGAATGGGACAGCTGGAGGGGCAGACAGGAGACCTGCCACTTTGCTTATCCCACTTCAACACTGAGCAAATTTCTGCACTTTTGAAGTTAATATTCATAATTTACCTAGTTTAAAATAGAAACAATTTTTATAGGTAGCCCATTATTTGTTTTTGTTTCCTAATGTGTTGAAACACTTACTTAGAAATGTATGAAGTAGGTATTGTTGTGCCCATGCCTTTGAATAATTTTTGACCTAGCTAATCTTCATATATCTAGTGTGAAATTCCAGTCAGACATTTATTCAAATACCAGTCTGAGACTGTAATCATATGTCACAGTGTCCCATATCACAGACTTGTTTAATTAAATGTTATAAAGTCCTGTTACTTGCTTTTGCAAGGTTCTGGTACCATCATGGCAGAAGTAGGGCAGGAAGGCAATATATAGATTGTATAATCTTAGGTTGTGTTTACGTTGTGTGCAAACAGTTTTAGAAAGAATAAACTATTTTAAGTGTATGTGCATGATGCTGTCCTCACAGCCATACTGAGTAGATGAAATCCCTGATTGGATACACTGTTAAAAAGTTTTAAAGACAATTTGAACTAGAACCATCTGATAATATTTTGTGGTTTGAAGATCTCACCCTTTAATGGCAGAACACATGCTGTCTGTGTGCAGCTGGCACTGAGCATTAACCTGACAGCTTCAAAGGGCCTCACTTACTGCCTTCCTCCCTAAAGCCTGTTGTAGTCCTTAGAGAACTGTGTGAAAACTTCTCAGACACCTCTGCCTGAAACTTTAGAGAGGATTTTGTACTGGGGTTAATTTTAGGAAGGCAGTTGGGGCAGGACTTTCAAATACTTAAGTCCTATTTCAGTGAAACCTTTGAGCAGCAGAAACTGGCCCATTTGTGCAGTGTTCAGTCTGTTTCCTGTGCACCATGTATGTAGCTGGGCCATGAGGGAGATTTTTCAGGGGGAAGGATAGGGAAGTGGAAGAAGAGACAAACAGGAGGAAAAGTATTCCAAACCCAAGAGGATAGTACAGTTAATGGAGTGAGGTTGTGTAGTATTGGTAAGACCTTCAGTAGTTCAAAATGATAAATTGTAATGGTTGGATCCCAGTTAACAGCAATAAGATTCACTTACAGTATGTAATCATACTCATTCTGTCATTCTCTATCAAGTGATCTTACCCCTAAGAGCATATTCATAGTTCCAATAATACATGTTAGTGATTTTTTTTACTTCAAAAAAAGCTGACAGCTATTGTATTTGGAGAATATTTGTCAAAAACTCAAATGTTAATAGTTATAATTGAGTTATTGGAATTCTAGAGGAGAGTATCCATTTTCAGATACTGTAGTTGAACCAACCTTGTAGATTGTTAATAAAGGCATTTTAAGATAGTATTTTGTTAGGTTGAATTGGATGACTAAAGAGCTCTACTAGCTTTCTCTTTATTAGTATGGATTTCAACAGAAGCCTACCTCTATTTCTTTGATGCACAGTAGTGTGGATCATGAAATGAACTGTTTAATTCACATTCATCAATATTGGTATTTTATGAGTCTATTTAAGAGCATTTGACTTTATCTTACAGATTGTGATTCAATTTAGATAAGCACAAATACAGTATTAGAAAAATAAATATGCAATCTTACTAAAGTTTAATTTCAACCTATTATAAGCTGTACATCTTTAAAAAATTCTTTGGGAAGATAATCCTTTTTTGTTAGTTGACAATATGTACCACTATATAGTTTCCTTCATAGCAGCAATACAAGCCATTTCTTCAATTAAAAAAAAAAAAAGGTTGAAAATTATATTATCTTCTTTGGAAAAAGTTTCCTAAATTTCTAAGAATTTAAAATTTTACATGTTATTTTTTAGAGCTTATTTAATCTATTTTAAAATAATACTAAAAGAAAGCTTTTTTTGGAAGTTGTAAAGCACTAATACAAATTAGCATTTTTCCAGAGCACAGTGTTTGGCTTTTTCTGAACTTTCACTTGAGCTCACAAGACATTAAGAGGGAGTAGCCACCTCCTCCTCAGATCTGAGGCCCAGCTTCGCTAATGAAAACCCTGTTCTACTCGAACCCATGAACACACACCTCTTAAGTGCCATGTTTATGGGACGTTTTGGGAAAGGTTTTCTATGAATGTTTAATTTTTTTCTTTTTTTATAGCTTGTGAACATTTAATTTTATTTAAAGATGACAATTTAATCTCAGACGTTAAAGAGGGTACATCAGAGAAGTATTTGTTCCCACTGCTTTTGAAAAGTATAATTACTCTCAGTGATATTGATGGCTTCAGTATGAATCCATAAAGAAAACCTGTACAAAGGTTTTAAAATGTATTGTTGAAAATAAGTCTAGTGATGATTTTAATCAGCAAAAAGAACTTAATATAAATTTAAAATACTGTTATGCTAACATGGCATAGTTTTAAATATAAGCATAATTTAGTAAGTCCTTTTAGACCAACTATTTAAACTGATTCCAGTAATCTTCTTAAGGATTGATAGTAGCCATCATTTATTGGCTTAAAAGTTATGCTGTAGGGAATATTATCAGTGTTAAATCCTAATTAACGGAGGTGAAGAAGTTAGTGTTCATAAGATAGTGTGGGGCTGGTAGTGAAATAAACATCAGTTTGTTTTAGAAAGAAGGAACTTTTTTTTAGTCTTGCCTCAAGCAAACCAGAAGTGTCCACTGCTTAAAATCTTTGTTTAGAATGTGTTGTTAGAGTCTGAATTCTTTTTGTTTTAGATAGCACTAAATAGTCTACTTTCAGTAGTAAATAGATGAACATAATCATTAAATTAACATGATGAATGAAGATAAAATGCTGGCTGGGGGCCTGGGAGTCTTACTTGCAGTTGGCAACAGCAGCATGTGACACCTTCATCCTCTCCTTAGCCTTTCATCTGTTTTGTCTTCTGAATATACAGTATGGAGCCTCTACTATTCAAAAGGCTGATTTTGGTTTAAATCATCTTTCAGGTACCTCCCAACTCTAAAACTATGATTCTAGGCCACATAATGGGGTATTTTTAAAGTTGCTCCTACTTAATTCTCTTTCCCTTTTTAATGGTTCATTTCATACTGAGAGCTCTTGCCAAAAGAGAATTGTTAAGCATCCATTTCCTGGGTCACCTGTAGGCTTGGTTCTCTTACAGATTTAAGTGAGAAGAAAAATTGTATAGACAAGCAAATGAGGGCATTTTTCTAAATGCTTCCTGGTAGTTAACCACTGAACACATGAACACATCTGAACATTCTCATTAATGCATTTATCCATTCATTTAGCAAACTCTTTGAACACTTACGTGCAACGTGTGGTATACATGACTTAAGGAGCCTCGTAATAAGTAAACAGAACCTTTGCAAGCAAAATTTCAACTGTGGCTTTAAACAAACATGGACATTATTATTATTTACTCTATTGAATGTAAACTTGGAACTGAGAGGGGAATTTTTTATGCACTGGGTAAATAAACTATTAAGCTAGATGACATCTAAGGGGTCTGAGTGAATCACAGTCCTGTTCCTAAAACACATTTCACATACTAATCATAGTCAAATACCTGAGGAGGTTACAAAATCTAGGGTACCTACCTAATAAGGATTTACATTTTGATACTGTTGTGATAGCCCGTATTTCTCAGAATTATTTTGACACTTGAATCTATTCCAAGGTGTTGCTATACAGGGTGTGTGACAGAAGGGTATACATTCAGAAGCTGGTGCTGACTTACTGTACATTTTTAACTACAAAAGCTTTACACCCAGTATTGACAGTGAAGTAAGTTTCTAAAACTGAAAAGTCTCAATCAAAGGAGATCGCTGAACAGGTTTGTTTTTTAATTCTCTTTTGTTTTTAAAGCAAAAAAATTACACAAAACTTACTGTTACTACAAATAGCGACTTTTTAAGAAAGCACACATGTATTACCACAGTAAAAGGGTTTCCTTTAAAAAATGCAGAACTGGTAAACATAAAACCTTTCCATGCTTGAATTGACAACTGTTTGGGGAATATACATTGAATGGCATTGATTAATGGAGTAAAGTTTCCTTACCACTTGGGGATTCTATGAAATTATGTTCTATTTCCTGTTGACCCAGCGATACAGATTAACATCACTTGATGCTAACTTCTCCATAAAGATACAAAATGAAAATATCTTTTTTTCCCTTCACCTCTTCAAATTAAAAATACCTAATATTAAAAATCTTTTATGCACCACAGTCGCAGGTTTTTAGGCAGGAAAATGTCCAAATACATGTTAGAATCTAAAACTGACTGAAAATAGGACACAGACATTTTAAAAAACTTTTAAGTTACTTTTAAAATGTTTTGATATACCTAATTTTTCAAATATTTTATGCTGTTAAAATATCTATTGCATATTTTTGTATACGTATTTTTAAATTTTAAAAAGTTAAGGAAGTGTGCTGAGATGGTGTAATTTTAGATGTCCAGTTGCCAGGACATTCAACTAGATTCCCAATCACCTCATTCAAAAGCTTGGTCTTGTTTTTTCCATAGGGGAAAAAAAAAGTCAAAGCGAGTTTTAAAACCATCCTCAGAGTAAAGAGTGAGCTGTGGTGAAGGCTGGAGTTGTAGACACAGGGTGCAGGAGAGGTACTGATGAGAGAGGTGGGCATTTCCAGCCTTTGCTAAATTACTGCTTTTGCTTGTTAAAAAGAAATGTTACTCTGTTGATCTAACAAAGGCAAATTGTAATTTTTTTTTTTGATGCTTCAAACACATGTTCACTGATTTTTTTTTTTCATGTTAACGGATTTTTTTTTTTTTTGTTAACGGATTTTTAAATTCCTTTTGGTTCCTCCCATTGTCCTAAAATAGGACTTTCATATTACTAAAACCTCAGAAGCTCATCTACCCAGGTTGAACAAAAGCATCACCAAGGGGAAAGGAAACCTTTTTTACTTTTACAGAAAAAAAAAAGTTAAGATTATATATAGATGTATTCTTTCCATTGGATATTGTATTAGAGTCCTCCTTACAGGAAATGAAATAGTTTTAGCACTCTTAGCATTAGCATTCCTAGATTGGTGTCTATAGCTACAGTTTTAAAATGTATAACCTGAAAATGAAGTTAATTTTGCATTTTAAGAGCACACCATGATCTATGTAAAAAGACTGTCCATTTGGTGTATTTTTTTAAAGGAGAAAGCACTTTCATATTAACAAGTAGCATGTGTATGAATTTTAGATTTTCATATTTGTTGTGTCTATTCAGTGAAGTAAAATTGAGCATTCAAATGTTTGTTGATGGCAACATTAACTGTTAAATTAAAGCACCTTATACTCTGCTGCTTAAACTTGCTTGTAATTGCACCTTTGTTACCTGCACATTTTCACATAGAATATTGTTAACATTGCCTCATGTGGGTCTGGATGGAAGGTTAGTGGGCCTACAGGATCATTTATTTATATTGTTTATATTACAATAATATATTGTAGACCAGTTGTAAGTTCATTTCTTTACAAATAAAAGCCTCTTCCATTTGGCTGGTCTATTGAATAATTTTTTTCTTTAAGCTTGTGAGGGCTTTGATATAGTTATAAATTTGCCTATTTAAAATCTGCAGAGTGTAAATCTTTACTAATTAAGTACAATATATTTTAAAGTGTCCCAGTCCTATGTATTGGCGAGTTTAGAAAGTGGTGCAGTCAGAGAAGTGGCAGGGACCAAGTTTAGAAACTGTGACCTATTAGACAGTATCTGTGTCGTTTGACAAAATGACTTCAGATAATTCTGCCATTTAAATGCTTTGCTCCAGCAGTTCTCACCTGAGGGCCGGGTGGCTCTGCCCAGCAGGGGAGGTTTGGCAGTGTCTGGAGATACTCCGGATCGGCGTGTCTTGGGCAGAGGAAAGGCATGCTGCCGACACCCTCCAGGGCACAGGACAGCCTCCCACAACAAAGAATCATCCAACCCAAAATGTGAATAGTGCTGAGGATAAGAAACCCTCCTTTTACAGTGTGTGATACATTGTCAGTGTCGTTATGATTTGACATGCAAGTATGTGACATATAAGTTATAAATGAACATGAATCTGGTATGTTGTGGAAAGAGGCCTAGTCACTACTCCCAGTTCTGTAAGGTGAGCAATTAAAACTTTTCTTCCAGGAGTATCTGCATTAAGAACAGAGAGATATTTTTGAAAATTACCTAAATTTAAATTGAGCTAATCTTCCCTTTATGTTAAACGAATATAATTTTAAGAAAATGATCGTGATTTTCGTGCTCTGAGTTTAATAAAAGTGTTTATTTACATTTGTTATATTATTGGCAGAGAATCTCAGATTTACATAACAGTTTTGCATCCAGTCGTTTTTTGGGTTACATGAAATCAGTATGGCCAAATATTAACTTCTTTCACTTTTCTATTAAATTAATATTGGTAACACACAGTGTTCCTGAACAGGTATACAAATTTTTCTTGGAATTTTTTTTTAATACAGTAGTCCCCAAAAGACACATTCTGAAATGGTATGAAAGTTGGGGCCGGGGAGGAGAGCTTCAGGTCCAGTTCAATCTTTGTATGTCCTGAGTCTTCATTCTTTCCCGTTTGTGAAATTATGATTCTTACTGTAGTTGTCAGTTTAATTAATTTTAACATGGCAACATTAACAAATTATTATTGATATAGGCTTTTCAGTTTGCTCAAGATTCTGAATTGTAAGTGGAATGAAGCAGCATTTCCAGTTGACGAATGGATCCACAGGTAATGCGAAGTCTCTTAAATTAAGCTTGTGACAATTAAACCAATAAACTGTAGCAATGAGAAAACTATTGACAAAGTACAACCACGGAATGTTCATCTCAATATATGCTGGAATCTGGACTTTAAGTAAAAGGATAATTACTTGAAGTAGTACAAATGGTAACCAAGTGCCGAGAAAACAGATAATGAACTTGGGCAAGAGTGTTTTTTTAGAGCTCAGAGTATAACTAGGATGGGATGAAAAGGGAAAATATAGGATAGTCTCATTCATATAGGAGGTCATCCTAACAGCCTGTACCAAGGCAATAACTTCTGCCCGAGAGGTTAGAAACGCCATAAATAAAACTGTCACCATGGAAAATGACAGCCAGTAACTCTGAATGCTAATGTAGAAAGGACACTGATAAGAATAAACATTCTGTGCCTTCAGGCTTTGGTAGATAGCTGGATCTCCCAAAACATAAGCAAGGACTGAAACCCAAATTAAAATTACTGTCAAGAAATAAAATAATTTTTGACACTTAAACCCAAGTTTTGTGGTTTTAGAGAAGTTCAGGTAATAATCTATACAAGCTATCAGGAAAACTGGATAATGCAGAAAGCCGTAAGTGAAAGAAATAATTTGAGTAAATAGGCAGATGTGGTATTTAGTAAACCTAATGCCTAACAGTACAAAATCCCTGAAATAGGATATAATGGAAATGTTTACTAAAAGTAAAAGATCGATGAATGCTAGTGAAATGCAAAAATATTCCATAAAGTTTTGATAGGTGATTTTTCTTCTCATTCCTAGTGTGAGGATATTCAGTAGTATTTTCCCAAGTATAATAAGAAACAGCAAACAGTTACCATCTAGAGGCTGATTTGCTTGATGTAACTGGTACTGAAAAGAGCAGTTCTCTGAAGAAAGAGCAGTCATGGTTTTAGCTGAATTGCAGAAGGTCTGCTGAAATACATAGGCTAAAACACCATTTCACTTTGTTTTCCATCCCTGTAAGGAAAGATGAAAAAGAAAACTTGATGTGATGTCTAATTTATAACTTTATTCTCAAAGAACTAATTTAATCCAGTCATCTCCCCATATAATTACAGATGACCCTTGAACAAGGAAAGGGTTAAGGGTGCTGATCCTCTGTACGGTCAAAAATCTGTAACTTTTGACTCCCCCAGAACTTCCCTACTAATAGCCTACTGTTGACCAGACGCCTTACTGATAAGTCAGTTAACACATATTTTGGATATGTGTTATATTACTTATTACTGTCTTACAGTAAAGCAAGCTAGAGAAAATATGAGGCAAATCATAGGGCAAATACATTTATAGTACCGTATTGTATTTATTGGAAAAATCTGCATATAAGTGGACCATTGTACCTCAAACCTGTGTTGTTCAAGGTTCAGCTATAAACATATAAATAGGAATTTATATTTTTCATAATACAGAATGTGATCAGAAGGAATTAATGTGTACCCTTCTGTCCTTTTTTTTTGAGACCCAGATGGTTGGGAACTCTCAGATCTCTAAGTAAAATGTTACATATAAATTACTACAACTTCTATAAAAATACAGGTTTTAATAACTTGTAGAGATAAGTACTTTTATCTACCAGAACCAAAACACAGGATTAAAATAGCAGCCTGAGAGTAATACTCCATAACAGTCACTGATGGCTGTTAACTCAGTTTCACTCTGACTCCAGACAATGAACATTACCCCACCCAGCTTTCTGTCAGTGAAATTTAGGAGAGCATTTTGCTGCAGGATCATCATCCTGAAACTCAAAAGAGTTAAAGCAGACAGTAAAGCTGAAGATACTGGCGACATAGGTAAAGGAAAGAAAGATTTCTCTTAGGCACATGATCTTTCAGATCTAGCACCTGGACAGACAAGGGAATCTGGGTAAGGAATAGAGGCAGACTATGGATACCAGAGAACATTAAGAAGTGCTAGGTAAAAAGCAAAGGAACAGGAGTTGAGGCTGGAGTGACTAAGGCATTTGGAGGTAGGAAAAAGAGAAGATGCTGAAAAAACAAGGCCAAAGGGGTAGGAAAGCAGAAAAGGATGGAAGGAGAGGTGCCTGGCTAGCTCAGTTGCTGGAGCATGTGACTCTTGATCTTAGGGTCGTGAGTTTGAGCCCCATGCTGGAGGTAGAGATTACTTAAGGAAAAAAAAAAATTTTTTTAAAAGGATGGAAGGAAATTCAAGAAATTTATCATTAGCATCACCTTAATTCCAAAACCAGACAAAGACCCCACCAAAAAGGAGAGTTACAGACCAATATCCCTGATGAACATGGATGCAAAAATTCTCAACAAGATACTAGCCAATAGGATCCAACAACACATTAAGAAAATTATTCACCATGACCAAGTAGGATTTATCCCCGGGACACAAGGCTGGTTCATCACTCGTGAAACAATCAATGTGATTCATCATATCAGCAAGAGAAAAACCAAGAACCATATGATCCTCTCATTAGATGCAGAGAAAGCATTTGACAAAATACAGCATCCATTCCTGATCAAAACTCTTCAGAGTGTAGGGATAGAGGGAACTTTCCTCGACATCTTAAAAGCCATCTACGAAAAGCCCACAGCAAATATCATTCTCAATGGGGAAGCACTGGGAGCCTTTCCCCTAAGATCAGGAACAAGACAGGGATGTCCACTCTCACCACTGCTATTCAACATAGTATTGGAAGTCCTAGCCTCAGCAATCAGACAACAAAAAGACATTAAAGGCATTCAAATTGGCAAAGAAGAAGTCAAACTCTCCCTCTTCACCGATGACATGATACTGTACATAGAAAACCCAAAAGCCTCCACCCCAAGATTGCTAGAACTCATACAGCAATTTGGTAGCGTGGCAGGATACAAAATCAATGCCCAGAAATCTGGCATTTCTATACACTAACAATGAGACTGAAGAAAGAGAAATTAAGGAGTCAATCCCATTTACAATTGCACCCAAAAGCATAAGATACCTAGGAATACACCTAACCAAAGAGGTAAAGGATCTCTACCCTAAAAACTATAGAACACTTCTGAAAGAAATTGAGGAAGACACAAAGAGATGGAAAAATATTCCATGCTCATGGGTTGGCAGAATTAATATTGTGAAAATGTCAATGTTACCCAGGGCAATCTACACGTTTAATGCAATCCCTATCAAAATACCATGGACTTTCTTCAGAGAGTTAGAACAAATTATTTTAAGATTTGTGTGGAATCAGAAAAGACCCCGAATAGCCAGGGGAATTTTAAAAAAGAAAACCATAGCTGGGGGCATCACAATGCCAGATTTCAGGTTGTACTACAAAGCTGTGGTCATCAAGACAGTGTGGTACTGGCACAAAAACAGACACATAGATCAATGGAACAGAAAAGAGAATCCAGAAGTGGACCCTGAACTTCATGGTCAACTAATATTCGATAAAGGAGGAAAGACTATCCACTGGAAGAAAGTCTCTTCAATAAATGGTGCTGGGAAAATTGGACATCCACATGCAGAAGAATGAAACTAGACCACTCTCTTGCACCATACACAAAGATAAACTCAAAATGGATGAAAGATCTAAATGTGAGACAAGATTCCATCAAAATCCTAGAGGAGAACACAGGCAAACACCCTTTTTGAACTCAGCCACAGTAACTTCTTGCAAGACACATCCACGAAGGCAAAAGAAAAAAAAGCAAAAATGAACTATTGGGACTTCATCAAGATGAGAAGCTTCTGCACAGCAAAGGATACAGTCAACAAAACTAAAAGACAACCTACA